TCAGCCTCCTCCCCATTCTCAATGCCAATCTTTGTGTTTAGGATGGGTCTTTTATCCAGAGGCTCCAAGGGAATGCGTCTGAACCAGTTTGGGCCAATCACCCTTAATAAAGAGAATTTTCTGGAACTATTGGGAGAGGGCTCTCTTTCCTCTGAGCTGTGGCCTCAGATGGACACTAAATGCATTTCTAGGAAAAACCTTAGCTAGGTCTCTTGAGGTTAGTATGTGTTTTCCATTCAGGGATATCATTTGTTACCAAGAAAATAAAGTTTCCATTGTTTTTTTGGCCTCAAGGAAAAATTATATTCATAAACTCTTACCTGTGGATACTGCCAGTACCATGCTGCTGAGGTTATTAAGCTCATTTTTTTATGTCAGTTGAATATAAGAAATTAGAGGCACTTTTGGGGGGAAACGTACAATCCATGATGTTCCGGTTATCTTGAAGTAGTAACCTAACTATCTACTAAGGATGCAGCCTTTAGTAGAAGGTCATTGAAAGGTTACTTGGCAGAGAATCAAAGATGTTTCAGACAGGACTGAGGCTGCAGTTGAGGTGTACTGAGGAAAGCAAGCTAAAAACGAAACAGTTGAGCTCCTTGGTGGATCTGCCATATTTTGCATCAAATAAAATGGTGTGCTATGGGAAACTGCCAATTTCATGAGCACTTTTTGGAGGACCATGAAGTGGAATAATTTTTCCATGGCCTGGCTCTGGATTTGGTTAGCAAGATAAGAGGACTAGACAGTGACAACCCTTAGCCAAGTTGTTCTAGCACCTTTGGGAGCATTAAAGTCAAATATAAATTCAGAGCCTACTGTGTTTAAAATACTTTGCTAGGCCTTAGCAAGGAAGCTCAGTTGGTTGGAGCATTGTCCTCTACACCAAAAGACTGCAGGTACGATTCCCAGTCAGGGCACATACCTGAGTTCGATCTCCAGTTAGGACACATACAGGAGCCAACCAATCCATGTTTTCTCTCACATCGAAGTTTCTCTCTCTCTCTCTCTCTCTCTCTCTCTCTCTCTCTCTCTCTCTCTCTCTCTCTCTCTCTCCAAAAAGCAATAAAAACATATCCTCAGGTGAGAAGCACTTTCTTAGTTGGGGTACAGAACACTCTTTACGCTTCATTCTTCATTTTATTCCTGTGACAGGATGGCATATTGACGGAGATTTAAAAACAAAATATAATAAAAATCTAGAGGCTGGGATGGCACAGAATCACAGACCCACTTACACCTGACTGACACTTGCGGCATTCTGGGTCTCAGCCACTATTTTTGTAAAAGGAAGATAACAGCACTTATCTCATGGACTTATTGTAACAATTTCAGGAGCGAATATGTGTGCCTGGAAGATAGAACTGAAGGTGAAGGGACATTCTAATTACGTATTGAGGGTACAACTTTGAATAACTGGCCATCTAAAGTCAGCTACAGCCAGCTGTCTTTTGGTTCCAGTCCTCTTCAGGATGTTCTGGTCCACCTGCAGTGTATCTGTAAAACACTTTCTAAGCCTTGGAAGTGTGGCAACCCCTTTCCATGGGCCCTGAGGTATCCAGAAGAAGGAAACATAGACTTTGCCTCCCAGTGACTCCATCTAGTGGAGCAGATGGGCCCTTGAATAAGGAGGACATATTATGGCAGAAAAATGTACAAGCTGCTAGGTGAGTACGGAAAGGGAGGCAGATTCTTATTCTAGACCTAAAAAGCCAAAGGCTCAGGAAAATGGCCATTTTAACAGAACTGCTCTATGATCAAAGTATTACAGCTCACCGGCTGCAGTTCTCCTCAATGTACACTATACAACTCCTGGACCTCCCAATTCTAAGGCAGGTATTATTTCCTGTTCCTTTTCTATCTCCCTCTCCCTTTGTCCTCCCCTCTTCTGCTTTCTCCTCTACCTCCTTCATCACAACACAGAGAGAGGATCGTGCCTGGAGCTTTGGACTATCGTGAACCACAATGACCACTTGAATAGAGCTGAGGGCAGACTGAATGAGGATAGACTCAAAATTAGACTATCACAGGGGCTAACATGTCTTGCCTTTGGCTATTAGATTTGGGCCAGAGTAGAGTACAATAGATGCAGAATTAACTCTACTGTTACTCTACTAGTCGGTGAACATAGATTTGAATGTTTTTTACATTAATCCCAGGTGCATAACTAGGCACTAGGGACAAACATAGAATTAACACTCCATGTTATCTGGGAATTAATAGTCTAGTGGGAATCAAATGAAAAATTAAATAATTTCAAAAATTCAAGAGTATTGCAAACATCTAGGTTGCTATAGAGACACCTCACAGGGAAGCTAGCCTTATCTGGAAAGGCAGAAAAGGCTACGCTAGGGAAGCGAGGTTGAAGATGAGGGATATGTAGGAATTGGTGAGGAGGCCTTAGGAGAATATCTCCCTCTCCTGCTTGTCACGACTTTCTCAGACCTTCTTACTAATGGAGGAGAGTGGTCTCTCCCCCCTCCCTTCACCCCCCACCCTCCCACCCACACACACACACACACCGCTGACAGCATTCACAGCTGAGCAGCACGATATGAGAATACAACTAAAGGTGCTGCTGCCACGGTTCTCTTATGCTCATCAGTCTGTTCCTCTGGAGCGCAGAGGGGAAGTATATTGTGGAGCCATCTCCCCCAGGCAGTCAGCTTCATCTCCGCAGGTTGCCTGAGGGTCTGTTTCTCAGAGATGCTGCTGCCCAGCACATCAGCCTCCCAGTCCTGGGACCCTCCCCAGCAACTCTCCATTCTGCCCAAGCTTAGTGTGACTTGTGCTTCTCTCACGAGCAGCTAAGTCCTGACTAATGTGGTCATATTACTGAATGTTTGTATAAGTGAAAGTACCTATTTTGAACCTAAACCTTAGCATAAGCACAGACTTAGATTCTGTGCTTCTTGAAGTCAACAAGAACCTTAAAAAAGCTACCTATGTTGAAATGAACTTCAAATGAGAGTAACACATTATCTACAGGTATTTTACTGAGCTCTTAAGAGCACCTCTCCTAAGTTTTTGGAATTAGAAATGTATGTTCCCGAGTCTTCCCACATTGTTTTACCTAAACAGACAATTCCTGCTCTACTCTCATCGATACATTTGGGAGCCTGGCACCACAGAGTCCGAGAGAAAGCACGTTAAGCAATACCTAGGGAAATGGTGGAGACATCTGGCATTTTGGGAAGAGACCCAGCATGTGAGTGGGCTCAGTGGCGTGCGTGGTGTTTTTCAGAAGTGCAGGCAGTGGGCCCTTGGACAGGGAGCGGCAGCATGTTCCTGTGGCTGAGACAGTCCGTTTATGCAACAAGGAATGATGTTGTGTTCTTTTGTTGGGGAACATTAACATGACGATGGCTTGCACAGTAGAAATGCACTTCCTCACAAACATGGAAATGGAAAGTCCAAGAAGCAGGTTCCCTGGGTTTTATGTCTTCTGAGGCCTCTCTTAGCTGGCAGATGGCCACCTTCTCACTGTGTCCTCCCATGGGCTTTCCTCTCTGCAGGCACAGGTCTGTGTCCAACCAACTTTCCTCCTCTCATAGAGAAGCCAGTCATACTGGATTAGGGCCCACCCAGGTGACTTTATTTTACCTTCATTACCTTCTGGGACCTGATCTCCAAATACAGTCATCTTTAGAGGTATTAGGGATTAGGAATTCAGCAATATAAGGTTTTTTTTGGGAAACAGTCTAGCCTATAACATATATGGAAACATACTCAAACTCATTTTCTTTTTAGAAAGTGGCAAGAAACGTTGGGCCCTGGCTAGTGTGCTAAGTAGTTAGAGCACCTGCCCCTACACTGAAGAGTCACATGTACCTGGGTTGCAGGTTCAATTCCTGGCCTTGGTAAGGTAGCGTGCAGGAGCCAACCAATCAGTGTGTCTCTCTTACATTGATGTTTATCTCTCTTTTTCTCTAAAAATCAATGGGAACAATATCCTCGGTTGAGGATTAACAACAACGAAAAGTAAATTAAAATAATAAGAAAAAAAGGCAATGTTGGCTAATCTGGCAAAAAATAAAAGCTATAAAATGGTCTGATGGGAGAGACAAATGGATATTACCTGGGAAGGGGGAGAGACAAATGGATCTTACGTGGGAAGGGGGAGGTGGAGAGGGATTAGAGAAAGGAGCTTGTAGTAACACTAAAATAATAAGCCAGCCCAGCCAGTGTGGCTCAGTTTTTGAGCACCAACCTATGAACCAAGAGGCCACAGTTTGATTCCCAGTCAGGGCACATGCACAAACCTAACCATGGCCCATCACACTCTCAGGTGCTCAAAGTCTCTTCCATTCCTTCTGAGGGTGCCAGATTTGTTGACTGAAGCTTTCAACCCAATAAAGGTGAGGCTTTCACATGGGCAGAGCTGACATTTATTCAACTGACAGATGCTGGGTGCCTTCCAGGGCCAGACTCTGCTAGTCACTGGGACACACAGAACATGGGATCAGTCAATATGACATTCCATGATGTCACTTGCTCATGTCACCCAGATGTCACTGAATAAGTAACAATTTGCACAATGTTTCATTAATCACCTATTAAGAAAATAACCGCAGTGGATGACAGAAAAAAAGCCAGATCCAGAACAAAAAAATTGAAGAGCCTGCAGAACAAGGTCCAATGAGCAAGGAACTGGCTGGAGAGCCACACTGGCGGTGCTCAGACAATTTTACTAGGATCTGCAACTTCATTTCCAACTCCCATACTTATGTCTCCACTCCTAAACAAAGAGTGAACTAAACAAATAAATGAAGAAATATTAACCATGGACCCAAATATTTCAAGGCATGGATGGGGGGAAAAACATCTTTATCAACTGCAAATGCAAAGAGAAAACTCCAGTAGACAAGATGAAAGTTTTTTCGAGCACAGCATAAACATGTACAAAACTCTTAACAGCACGGGTATCAACAAATGCTTCTATTACTGCAAAAACCATCTTCAAAAGAGCGGCGAGAAAGAGACCCACAAGCAGAACGGAGCTATTTTTTCATCTCCAAAATGGCGCTTCCTGGTCCCCGGTGCTTAGCACTGCAGATGTTGCAGAACTGTGCCTGAGAGGTCTAAAATGTAATTAAAAAACACAGATTACAAAAGTATATATATCTATATATCTATATCTATATCTATCTATCTATATCTTATCTTCCTATTTTCACATTCAGAAATATTATGGCAGAATCAGCCTGGGGGCAGTGGGAAGCTATGAAATGCCACTCCCTTTTCCTGGACATTATTGCTGGTTCACATAAGATTTCCAACAGCTAAACAAATATAATGTGACAGAGGAACATGACTTGGCACTAGGAAATAGCAGTGTCATGGTACTGAAATTAGGTTGAGAAAGTTGTACAGGACATTCTCATACAGTGGTTCTCACTGTATCTCACGTGTCCATAGCTCTACAGCTCAATAGTCATCAGTCTTCCCTAAACAAGTTCACTTAAATGAATATGATTTTATAATGGTACACTAAACATTTTTACATTTGAGAATTAGATGAACTTTTCTTATGTGATATAAAACTATATTATAATTTTGAGAATGCACAGAGCCATAAATGACAGGCTAGAATGTTGAGCACATCCCTCTGACTGCACCTATTTTAGCTGATGGTGGCCTAGCTGCCCACTCACCATGCTGGGCACAGGCAGGCACTCCTTGTGGAACATGTGCCGGCAATGGAAGACCACCATGCTGAAGGGCTTGGCTGCATCTGGGGGAAGAGGACAGGAAAGGAGAAGGACTCAACGCAACAAGCAGATCAGAGACTTTCAAACCAGTCTTCTTTTTGCTCTACTCTACATATATATATATGTGTGTGTGTGTGTGTGTGTATACTAGATCTGTTTTGTTCATTCACCTGTTTGTGTGTGTTCTTTTAAGATTCTACATATAAGTGAAATCATATGGTATTTTTCTTTCTGATTTACTTCATTTAGCATAATACCCTCTATATCTATCCATGTTGTCACAAATGGAAAGATTTCATTCCTTTTTATAACTGAGTCATATATCATTATATATACGTCTTTATCCATTTATCTATTGATGGACATGTAGCTTCCATATCTTGGCTACTGTAAATAATGCTGCAATGAACATAGGGGTGCATACATCTTTTTGAATTAATGTTGTTGTTTTTTCAGGCCAATACAGAAGTGGAATTGCTGGGTCATTTGGCAGTTCTATTTTTAATGTTTTTGTGGAATCTCCATATTTTTTCCATAGTGACTGTACCAAGGGTCCCCTCTTCTCCACATCTTCGCCAACACTTTTTTCTTGTTGAATTATTTAAGAAAGCCATTCTGACATTTGTGAGATGATATCCTATTGTGGTTTTAATTAACATCTCCCTGATAATTAGTGATTTTCAGTATTTTTCATATTTCTGTTGGTCATCTGTATGTCTTCTTGGGAGAAATGTCTATTCAGGTCTTTTGCCCATTTAAGAGATGTCTTTATTGATATTTTAGATAAAGACAAAGAGAGGAGGAGTAAGAGAAATTATCGATGAGAGAAACACTGATTAGTTGCCTTTCAAATGCACCCTGAATGGGGACCAAACCTGCAATGTGGGCTTGTACCCTGACTGGGAATTGAACCAGTGACCTTTTGGTGCATGGAAAGATGCTCAATCACTGAGCCACACTGGCCAGGGCCTCTTTTTTTTAATCAGACTGTTTGATTTTCTTAGTGGTAAGTTGTATGAGTCCTTATATATTTTAGATATGAACCCCTTACTGGATGTATCATTTGCGAATATTTTCTCTAATTCAGTAGGCTGTCTTTTCATTTTGTTGGAGTTTCCTTCGCTGTGCAAATTTTTTTCAGTTTGATATAGTCCCATTTGTTAATATTTTCTTTTGTTGCCCTTGCTGGAGGTGGCACGTCCAAAAAGATATTGCTAAGAGTGATGTTGAAGAGTTTGCTACCTATGTTTTCTTCTAGGAGTTTTATGGTATCAGTACTTTAAGTTGGAGTTTATTTTTACATATGGTCCAATTTCATTTTTTTGCATGTTAGTTTTCCTCAACACCACTTATTTAAGAGATTGTCTTTACCCCATTGTATAATTTTGATTCCTTTGTTGTAGACTGATTGACCATATAAAGAAGTTTATTTCTGGGATCTCTATTTTATTCCACTGATCTATATGTTTTTATGCCAATACCACACTTTTTGAGTACTGTAGTTTTGTAGTACAGAATGCATCAGAAGGAAAACAATTTAAAGGCAAGGGAAAGCTACCCATAAGAAAATGTCCCACATACACACATGGTTCTTCAACCTTGGAATTTAAACACCTTGATGGTAGGTCTTCATTTTATTTTGTTTTATTTTGGGCAGTGCTTCTCAAAGTATGGCCCCTGAAGCAGTAGCATCAACATCACCTGGGAACTTGTTAGAAATGCAAATTCTTATGTCACACCCTGGAATGACCGAATCAGAACCTCGGTGGGTAAGACCGCATTGTGGGTTTTACAAGCCTGTCAGGTGAGGCCAATTTACAAGCCTGTCAGGTGGACACTTTGAGAATGGCACCATCAGAATGCAACTGAGGAGAGTTGTGGGCTGAAAATCTTTTCTAAACTTGACTGTCCTAAAAGTTATATAATTTTATAAAAATTCCACTCATTATTAACACCTAGTTGGGGGTTTCTTTTCCCCTCCTAAAAATCTCACCTGATGGAAGAATAGGGGCCAGGCACGATTCACAGATGTTTTCCTCTGCAAGGAAACACACACACACACACACATGAGATCCACAATGTTTCTTGCTTCTCTTTGCTCTGTCTCTTCCCCAAGGAAGGCATACAGTTCCAATAGGATTACTTCCATTTTACCCACCGTCGACCAGAATGCCTTTCATCTGAGTTCGATGCATTTTCTTCAGTAAGGACAGAGAGTCTGCCACGAGAATTTTCTTGCAGCCTTCACGAAGCAGGATCTAATGCGCACATTGTAAAAGAAATGGCATCTTAAAAAGACTCTACAGTTGGGGGAGAGGGGACCTCTTATTGGGGATTCAGGAAATCGCTTTCTTTAAATACTCCCAAGAGGCACTCATGGGCTTCCTGCTCTCAGTCCCCTCTTCCCTCCAAGCCACTGCCAGACCCACCTTCCCGCCTCCATTCAGTCATGTCTGCAGTTTTTCTTATGGATATACAGTGATGCCTGTAGTGCTGTGGAATCAGAAACCAAGCCAAAGTCTGGTGCAGAAGGCCCTCTGCTAACCACCCCTACTGCTGTCTCACAGGTCTTCCTGATACACACTCTCTCTGGCAAAGCTTGGCCCCCACACGACTTGGTCATTCCAAGTCCCAGGTCTTTGCCCAGGATGGAAAACCTGCTATTGCAAATTAATTTATTTCATAAATCCATCTACTTCCTGCACAGATATTTTACTGTACTGACTCTCTATGATATAGATTAGGCAGAAGAAATGAAGCAATAAATTAAACAGATGGGATCTCTGTCCTTAAACCCCCTCAGGGTGCAAACCATTTAGCAATTAATGCGATGTGTAAGTGTAATTGATTATATTAATTCTCAAATTTGGTGATTCTGAAAGGGCTGGCAACTGAAAACCAACCACAGATAGTAAATATTCTGTCACAAGACTCACTTTCTTCCCTTCTTCCCAGTGCTGTACTCCTTGCTTATGTGTTTTTCCTGTTAGTCACAGGCTTACTGATTTCCCTTCTCTGCCTGGAGAAAGACAGAGCTAACCCTTCAGCAGCTCGGAAGTGAGGATGCAGGGAGCAGAGGTCAAATGCCCGTTTTGATTGATAGCGACTTTGTTTCAGAGCTGGGAAGACAAAACTGCCCACCTGCTTTTAAGCAGGTAAGAGCAACCTACCTTACCTTTCAAACCCATTCTGCTGGATACGGTGTGAGCCTCCAGCCTATTCTGGGTTTTCTTAGGAATTTTATTAGACATTAAGAGAGGCTGTGTGACAAGCCAGATGCCACTTTTACAAAAACTCGCTGCTTTTCAAAGAGGGAGACACTCCAGCCTGAGGGCAGAGGGTCTGGTGCAGGGCCTGTGGCTTCCTGACGTGTTTCTGTGCACGTCCCATGCGCTGCTGTGCAAACCCACATGATGACGACAGGGCCGCCTCACTGCAGTTCAGCTCTGCTTCACAGCATTTTCCTTTCTTGTTTTCAGGCCACAGGGAAGGGAAGGAGGGAATGACCGACTTGGTCCTCCACTCCCAGTTGTCTGCAATACCTGGTGCTCCTCTCACACCCTACAGAGCCCTGGCGTAGGGTGAACACAGCCACAGGGCTTTCCCCTAATGATATGAAGGGGCTAATATCCAAGAAAGCAAACCTGATGTACAGATTAAAAGTTTTACACCCGCCATTTCCAGCACCCGTGAGCAGGAAATAACCAATGGTAATACTATTTCTACATTAACTGAGGCACTGTGTTGGATTTTTCAGATTCATTAAAAAAACCCCCACAAAAAACAAGACATTAAAAGCAGAAAAAATAAATACAGTAAGAATGATAGCTGAGAAATACTGTAAGTAAACTTTATGAAAATTTATAAGCAAACACTATAAAGCTCCTTCACCTCAAATACCAAAATAAAAATTTAAGGAGGAGTGTCAATCACTGTATCTTTGTAAAATGTTTCAGAAAGAGCAAGGTGGCTGTGTGAAGTCTATTGCACGAATAATACAGGAGAAGGGCAGACCTGGCAGTGTAGACATTCTTGCACAGATCTTTTGTGGACCTGCTTTTTACCATTAGAGTAAATAGAAGGGAAATTGCTATGTCATGGAGATGTTTAATTTTTTAAGTAACTGTCAAGTAGTTGTACCATTTTACATTTCCACATATTAAGCTTTGATATCTGATAAATCTACTCTCCTTATTCTTCTTGGATAATCTTAGCCTTTTACTTTTTATATATAACTAGAACCTGGGTGGGGTCACTCAGCCTGGCCTGCACACATCCCCCAAGGGGACTCGGGTTGCGAGAGGGTGCAGTCCAGGCCTCGGGACCCCACTGGTGTATGATGGGAGCTGGGGAGGGACTGAGGGAGGTTGGCTTCAGGGCATTTCCGGCCTGTCTCGCCCAGTCCTGCCCCGCTGGCCACCTTCTAATTAATTTCCTTTCAATGTGCACAAATCCATGCACCGGATCACTGGTGTACACATAAGAAGCCAATAATCTAGAAGCTTAGTCTTTGCTACTCCAGAGGGCTACCATAGCAACAACATCCCCTTTCTACTTTGGGTTTGCTCTCAGTGTTTCCTGGCACCTGTTCCTATCTCTGTTGGAATCAGCTACGAAATCAAAATAAATCCTCTTTTAATATCTTAGTTAACATTCTTTTTTAACAATAAGGGAATATTCAATTTAGTCTATCATGTATCCAAAAAGCTAAAGCTTCTCTGGTTTAGAAAAATTAATTTCTAGTTTATATACTGTTGACCATGTTAAGCGAAGCAAATACTTATCAACATAGATTACATTTATTTTTACTCTCTTTTAAATCTGTTATACTTGAATTCTTAAATCTTAGTCTTTATCACTGACCTTGACATTTGGTCAAATGAACTTTTATTTCTTATTGACTTTAGATGTTAACATTTTAATTAGGTCTACAAGGACTTTCTTTGCTGGCTGTTTCCCCATATCTTCCTCTCAGACTTTACAGAACTTGCAGATACATTTTGTGACATTTTTCAGAGTATTTGTAGGCTACATAAGTTAAGCTGAGAAGGAGTTTTAAGGATCTATCATCTCTCTTCCCCAATTGTAATCTTTGTTTTCCAAAGGATGCCCACTGGCCTTTCAAAGATCAAGACATTCTCTGCTCAGCAAAATCTTTCTTGCCTATTTCCTCCTGTTTATCTTGGTTTCCCATTTTATTCTCTGTGTAGGGTCGCCTCTGATATTACTTCCAGAAAAATAAAATCAGTTTGAAACTCCTTTACTGTGTCATCTAGAAAATGTCCCCACTTGGTCCATAAGACAAAATCATTATGAATATTTGCTTTGTAATCTATATCTCAGATTAGATAGAGTTCTACTAAGACAAATACATCACTGTCTAATCTTTTCTTTCCTCAACCTCATAATGGCATCAGTTCCCGTCTCAAAATACATTTGTAGGCATCGTTTCCCGAGTACAATAATATCTCTCAAACATTAACTTTCCTTATAGGAATTTCCATTATTTTTTCAAGGTTATTCAAATCAATGGGCCACTTCTTTCCACTTCCTTCTCTACCACTTGTTTTCTTAATATTACAGTTCCCTCCATAATTCTAAGTTTTTCTAAATTCTATGTTTTATTAACATTACTTTTATCCTTTGTCTTTATCATTTTCAAGACAACCAGTTGTAGCTTCTACAGTCAATGTTACTAGCATACCTTGTCCTATTGGGTCATCTGCAAACCTCCAAATAAATAAATACCTGTATATCTTGGAGCTTTTATGCAGAACAGGCCCTCTATCTCTTTGCCTTAACCCATCTTTCTCCCAGGATTCTGATTTCCCACAAGCCCTCCTGAGTGAAGGCTCCTTGTTTTCTCACATCCCGCTTTCAAGAAACCTCTTCTCCTTTAGAGTTGTATTGCCCAGTAATACCAGTCACCTGTGGCTGCGAGACTACCCTCCCTCCCCGATCGCTGAGAACAATGGAGCCTGGCTGACAGCCCCACCCCGCTCTCTCTCCTCAGTGTGCTCTCACATGTTCTCCACTAATTCCACTCCAATGACCTCTACCTTCACCCACTTTTGGAACAAGTTCACAATGACTCTTTCAGAGACATAATGCGATAATACCCCACTCCCTGGCTCTGGTCCCTCCAGCTCTGTCACTCCTTTATATTTTTCACATCAATCTTCCTCAATGTCTTCTCCTTCTCACTATGCTTTCTTTTTCCTCTTTAAATAATTTTATTGATTTTTAGAGAGAGAAAGAGAGAAAGAGAAACATCCCTGTGAGAGAAGCACATCGATCGGCTGCCTCCTGTACGCCCTCTACTGGGGACTGAGCCTGAAACCTGAGCATGTGCCCTGAACAGGAATCATACCAGCAACCTTTTGGTGCCCAGTATGACACCCATCCAACTGAGCCACACTGTCCAGGGCTCACCCTGCCTTTTTCTGACTGAGGCCACCACCTGAATTCAGCAGGCACCCCACGGGCCCCCTTCATAGTGACTACAGGCCCCACAAATCTTCACCACGATCCTCCCATCTCCTTATTTATCCTAATAACCACTTCTCTTCCCCCAAACCCAACTCCAACCTTAGCTTCCCGCTCTACCTGAAAAATTCTCTATGCGTCCAGGAAAACAATTTCATCCCTATTATAACAAAAACTCAGTTTAAAATAAAGTAGGCAAAGAGTAGTCTGAATTGCTAAAGAAGCGTGCTTTAAATAGTTGAAAGTTCTACAGAAGCTACCCGCATTCTAAAAAATACTGATTATTACAGAGTACTTTTAAAGAAAAGATTAGGATGCTATGAAATTAGCATATACATTATTTATGTGAAAATAAACAACAAATTGTAAATTACTATAGATAATAAAATTGTGACTCATCTAGAAAACAGACACAAGATTAAATAAAATCCTGTATTTAACATGTTTCAGGTAATAGGATACTAAGTGGCTTCAAGAAAATTATCAAACTCTTTGAACAATATTTCTTTATTCTCCCAAGTAGACATACTATTCATTCTAGTAAAAAATGGTTTGGGTGGTCTGATCTAATGGTCACAGTAATTACTCCCTCCCGAGTGCCATGCTATATTTACCACACAAACGTAAGAGTATCTGTTCTTCAATAAGAGATAACTTGGGGGTGGTTAAATATCAGATGGCTTCCGTAAAGGGTGATAGTTCTGGTTTCGCTATTTGAACAATTTTCCAAGTAATCTGTTCAAAACAGACTGTACCTATCAAATTAAACTATTCGACTAATATTGAAAATAAACCCTAGAAATTATCCTGTAGTCAGTCAACTCACTTAGCATACTTATTTATCTACAAAAGGATACTTACTTGTAAATTATAGTCTTGAAGAATTTTAACCAAGGAATCTCTCAGATTGGGAATCTCCATTCCTTCCTTGATACGGTGAATCAGTAGTATTGGGTCAACATGCGTGCCAATATTGTTTAACAAGCCAGTAATAAACGCTACAAAATACCACAGAAAGCAATTAACGTATAAGCAACTGTAATACTTGGCTTACTTATTATGTAATTTTAAGCCAAAAACAATTCAAAGAAAAAAAAAAGTGTCCTTCAAATTTGAATATTAAACTCTCAAGAACTAATCTTCCCCTACTTTCCTCATGACATAAAGCAGCAGCTAAATATGGAGAATTTAAAACGGAGAACAAACGATTACTTCAGAATATAATTTGTGATGTTAACAGGGTGCAACAAATATTTATTGAGAATTTGCTATGGCTCAATTATCATACACTTCTCACCAATATTCTCCAAGGTAGGAGTGTTATTTGTCCCTATTTTACAGAAACGAGAAATGAAGTGATTAATTTTCCCAGGATCACACAGCCAGCGAGTTTTAAGCCCAAATTCAAAAGTAAGCCGGACCCAAGTCCACAATGTGTTACACCCAATTTGCTCCTTTTAGTATACTTAAAAAACTACTTTGTCATGCTAACATTATCATCTTATTTAAAGGACAATCTTAACAGCAATTTCTAGACCTTGAAAATTCTGAAATAGATAAGCCTTTTACCAAAAAATAAAGAGAAGGGAGGAGATTTTAAACCACTATTGCTGCTAGTTTCTGAATCATTTCTTTTTTCTTCAGAGAGCTTAGGTTATTGTTAGGTGACTGCTTTTTCCAAGATGGGAGACCCAACACGGTAGTCAAGTGGAGGGCCAATCAGTAAATTCCTGGTGCGGTAGGAAAAAAATCCATTTCCTGGGGACACAGGTAACATTACCAGGTTAACCACTTGCTCTTTAACACATCCGGGTAACTCAGAGTGATGGGCTCCAGGCTGCACTGCCCAGGACTGGGATTGGAAAGTGTGTCAGTGTGCCTGGCCTATCTTTATTAGAGATACTTGACCATATTTTTTAACTCAATGTGCCTTGAGATAATTCTTACTCTAGACATAAACTGGCTATATTGAGAGAAAAAAGTTATGACCGCAGATGGTTTTTCTGCTTACGTGGTTTGTCGATGGAATATGAAATCAGGTCTTCCCAGAGCTCTGCATCGTCTTGCTCCTTGGCAAATTCAATTGCTTTATCCACGTCATGTAATTCCTCCATGATCATCTTCAGGGCACTCCGGCTATTACCCATTCGGCCTAGCAAAGATGTGAGAAATACTTCATTCAGAACATTTTAATAAAACACTGTTAAAGAAATAGCATATCTCTTCATTTATTCACCCAGTTTTAAAGCTGACGCAAAAGCATATTTTCCTATGTGACATTCCCATAACATAATAAAATAAAGGTCTCCTATTAGTTAGGTTTCTACTGTGTTCTGAGCACTCATCGCTGGGATCATTCATCCCCAAGAGGTTTTGATTCTGGTTGGAAGGAGAAACACAGAGATCAGCGGGCCTTTCTTAGCCCAGAAGGTGATGTGGACGGCAGGAGCAGGCTGCTCTGCTTCCTTAAAAAATGTAAACACTCAGTGGAAGTGGACATGGATGCTAGTCACACAGCCAAGTCAATGCCCAGCCAGCCTGTGGCTGTGTCCTGCCCCTCTCTGCTGTGCTGCGGTGCTATTGGCTGGGGAGGCTGAAGCCATGCCCCTGCGCACACAGAGTGTATGAAGGGGCAGGCAGGAAGCTGAAAGCTGGAACTGACACGGCGCTGCGTCCACCATGGAGCAGGACAGGGAGCAGCTGTAGCATGACTGGCTTCCTGCACATCCCTGGTGAGTCACTGCAAGCGGCAGGACTGAGGGGCGGGGACGGGGTGGGGTGTGGGGGGCACCGCCATGGTCAGTGCATGGCCCTCCACTGTGCCCATCCAGGCCGGGCGCAGCCTGCGGAGGCTTTTCCCTCCTGGAGCCGCTCTTCTGAGAGCAGCGGTATCCAGCTGCTTTTCCTTTTTTCAAAACATTTTTTTCTTTTTTAATTGGAAAGCAAGCTCTGGCTTGCGGTTCCTGGGATCCCTGGGCCATAAAGTGCACCTGCGAGCCTTGCTAAGCCCCCCTTCCTCTCCTCCTGCATTGCCTCCTGGTGGTCAGTGTGCGTCATAGTGACTGGTCATTCCGCATAACGGTCACTTAGGAAAATACATACATACACATACATTAGAGGCCCAGTGCACGAAATGTGTGCCCTGGGGGTGGGAGGGTCCCTCAGGCCGGCCTGTGTCCTCTCACAGCCCAGGACCCCTCGCTCCTTACCACCTTCCTGCTCGCTGCTCCTTAGCGCTGCTGCAGAGGGGGGAGAGGGTCCCCACCAACGCTGCTGCGCTCGCCAGCAGTGAGCCCGGCTTCTGGCTGAGCGGCGCTCTCCCTGTGGGAGCGCAGTGACCAGCAGGGGGAAGCTCCCGTGTTGAGCGTCTGCCCCCTGGTGGTCAGTGTGCCCCATATCAACCGATCGTTCTGGTCATTCCACCGTAGTGGTTGCTTAGGCTTTTATTATATAGAAGACAGAGGTCACCCCATTAAATTCAATGAAAGTAAGAAATAAAATAAGTAGATAAATAAAGGCCTTGGAGTCATTCTGCCTCGTAGGCAGCTCTGCATATTGCTCTTCCAACACACTATGTGCCAACGTCAACCTCAGTGATCAGACCGTGGCCTCATTTCCCTTCTCTTCCATGTTCAGGGGAAACCCTTTGAGCAACTCTCATGAAGTGAGTCTTTACCAACTATGCTTCAATTTGATTATCTTTATGCAGTTTGCTCATTCATTTCCTGGCATTTCAATGGTTTTGTTATCAATTTCCATGAGTTTTTAATGTAATACAGGTAGAAAGCTTTACTCAGGGCAAGGACAGCAGTTGCCTGGCTGTGGGCAATTGCCCTTCTCCTTGCCCTTGGCCTGTGGCAAGAGCTAGTAATGGATCTTGAGTCCTTCTCACTCTGGGAAGCCATTATTAAAGCAAACAGCTGGCCTGTAAGATTACATCCCGTTTTTTATGTTTCTACAGCATTTTGCTTTTCCTACAAATATCCCCAGTTTGTATCTTTAAAAATGGTTCATATGAATTTTAAGTTTTTACAACTTAAAAAGGATACTATGCTTCCCTTATAAGTTCTCTACTGCTTCTAAGACAACTGAAAGGTGGAAATAAGAGCCTGAGGACCAGGGACAACTGACAGCTAGTCATATTACAGACTCGCCCTCTCTTTTGAAAATTATGACATTCAATTGCATTTCCTCCATTATTTAGGGTGTGATTTTTGAAAATGAAAATTATTTATTTTCTATCAAGATGGTGGTAATATAAGCTGATGTGTTTGTTTGTTACACAATACTAATATGATACCTCAACAGCATTTATTAAATAACTCTTCCTTCTCTACTGAGCTGTGAAGCCTCCTTTTTCATGTATTAAATTCTTATACAAAGAGGTTTTAACTTCTAACTTACTTTGCTCTAAAACCTATGCCATTCTTAGACAATCTATATCACATTTTCACCCCGTTTCTTAGTTTATGGGGACCAAAATGAGTGAAAACTACTTACTTAGAAGATAAACAGTCTCTTCTACGAAGTTTCTCTGGTGACAGATCTCAAGAGCCTTCAAATAAAGCAGGTCAAAAATGTTACCATGGGTTACCAGACAAGAACAAATATTAATAGAATCCCTTAAACACACAATTTGAAAGAATTTTTCCATTGCATCACTTAAAAAAAAAACCACACAAAGCACACAAACAAAAACACAACTTTCCTTAGGTTTGCTGGTTTCTGGATCCATTTATCTCTCAGAGAGTTACTGGTCCCTATACAATTCAATTGGTAGCATACAGGTGTGAGCACAAGTAGTTTATAGAGTTGTGAGTATGCAAAGCAGAATTTAATCTTTTTAAAAAATATATGTTTTTATTGATTTTCATACAGAGGAAGGGAGAGGGAGAGAGAGAAAGAAATACCAACGAGAGAAATAGCAATTGGCTGCCTCCTGCACACCCCCTACTGGGGATCAGTCATTGTTTTGATCAGATCAAACTGTGATGACCTGGAGTTTATTCTTTTTTCTTTTAAAAAAAATATATTTCTTTATTGATTTCAGAGAGAGAGAAGTAGAGAGAGATAGAAACATCAATGATGAGAGAGAATCATTGATCTGCTACTTCCTGTACATCCCCCACTAGGGATTGAGCCCGAAACCCCAGGCATGTGCCCTTGGCCAGAATCAAACCTGGGACCCTTCAGTCCACAGGCTGACACTCTATCCACTGAGCCAAGCCGGCTAGGGCCAAAGTTTATTCTTGTATTACTGTTTTTAATTATTGTATTATATATTTATGTGACAACTGTAAACTGACTTTTGCTCATCCCTCTGTTTGAGACAACTTAGAGCATTCCGTGGGTAAAGGCAGAAAGCAAGAAGCTGAGAGGCCCCTTCCCACCAAGCTTTCTCTCTTTCTGTTGCTTAGGCTCCTTCCTAGCACTGCCGTTCTCAACCGGCCCACTGTCCTCGGTTGAGCAGTTTCCCTCCACGGATGCAGCTGCATGAAAGGATCTGCTCACTGTGCACGTCCTCAGTACTGAGTGCACATCACAGCTCAGTAAACATTTGCTGTATAAATGGATAAGTACCGGGAATATTTCTATTGCCGGCTCACAGGGCTTAAAATAACTCTGTTCAAGGATCTGTCAAAAGTGAGAGAAAAAACACATCTAGCAATCAAGAAGGAGAAGATCAAGTGAAGAAATGAAGGACTACACAGATGATAGCATTTCCTTGAATGTAAAAAACAATACCAATACATGCTTATAAACAACTTGTACAGACACAAATTTACTATACACTCTGCTGGGCACTAGTCACTGGATGGAGATGCAACAATGCTAGAAACACAAATGCTCATGATGATGATGACACGTAAATAAAGATGAGGAGATGGGGGTGGCTCAGTAGACGTGGAGGCAGCATGAGTCCACAGGGAGTGTGACAGAGAAGTGAGAACACAGAATCTCCTGACCAGAGGAGCATGGATAGAGGGCTATGTGCATCCATATAGGACCTGAGTTCCGGGGTGGCCCTTCAGAGGGACATCTGAACGGGTGCCCTATGCGTGAGCCTTCACTGTAACCTCACTCACATGCTACTAAGGACCCTTCTTATTTTGTTACTCTGCTTCAAGTTGAGAATCTTTACTGTGGCCTCGGAAGCCCTGCCTTTCTGTGCAGTAACACCTCACACCTTGCTCATCTCTCTACCATTGCCCCTCAGCCTGGAGGGCAGCCCTCCCACTCCACTTTCCACCCTGGCAAGTCCTTCAGATAAAAGCCTCCTTGGACCCACACCACGCCAGATCCCAGGCGCTTAGTCTCACTGCACCTGCACACGTCTGGCTCATGGGTATGCAATAAGTATTTTTTTCAATAAATGAAAAGGTTTCAGGAGGAAGATCACTGGGTTGCACAGTTAGAGCAGTCAGTCAAAAACAACCAGCCAAGGTTATTTTAAAGACCAAAACCAAGGAGGTAGAAAGAACAGCTCAAGTTCTTTAGCTCTTCCGGCTCAATGGGCCATCTTGGGAAATGACAGCAGGAGAGAGTTTTGACATTTTGATTTTGACTTTAAATTTTTTGAGTAAAATAGATATTTAAATCTTGTCTATGGTGGGAGATTGACAACTAAAAGGGAGGGAAAAAATGCTGATCATAGAGATCAATGATGTAGGTGAGGGAAACACAAATGAAATATAAAAAAGTGGAAAAAACAAATAACACCTTATTGGGGAATGGCAATGACCTTAGGATGGCATTTTAAAGTACACAAATCATTTAAGGGAGGAAATGAGAAGAGCTGAAGGTCACAAAGAGGAAGAAACACCATTCATTCAATTTCTCACAAGATTCCTTTAAATTACATGGCGGAGACAACTAGTTGTCCCTCAATGTCTTTTACTCATTTCTTCTACTGTAATAAGATTTCAGGTGGGGAACTGCCAGAATTAAAAAAAAATCTCCAAGCCTCCCCAAAGATGAACCAGAAACATGGAAGCTTCTGTGAATGCTCTTTAAGAAGTGGCACGTGTGAACTTTTCTCTCTCTCATTTTTAGTCTTTTCATCCAATCTGATCCTACAAACATGGATGCTACTATCTCATATCACAAGGTCAAGGTCATAAATGGTAGGGGAGCAAGAGAAAAGGCCCTGTGACATGCACCACCAGCAGAACACTCCACAGGACTTCCATGTGACAGAGAACTAAACTGCTACTCTGTTTAAGCCACTAATATTTTGGAATTTTTATCACTCATGGCCGAGTCTAATCCTATCACTTAGAAATTCCATATTCATCTTTTTTTTTTAAATCCTCATATTTTTATTGATTTTTAGAGAGAGAAGAAGGGAGGAACGGGAGGTTGGAAGGGAGAGAAAGAAAAGAGACTTCAATCACTTGCCTCCCAGAGACTTCAATCAATTATGCACCCAGACAGGATATCAAAACTGCTATCTAGATATATGCCCTGATCAAGAACTGAACTTGCAACCTTTTCTGGTGTAGGAGATGATGATCCAACCAACTGAGCCACCCAGCCATGGCACTCCTCATTCATTTTGATTAAAAAGATCGTTTCTCTCTTTCCACCCCGTCATGCCTATAAATCATCATCCTACACAATGGAACTTTCTTACCAATTCTAACTCTTCCAGGATGATAGAACAGAGTCAGGATACACATGTGAGAATTTTAAACAGTAAGAAAAAAAGCAAAAATCTGAAGTCAGAGGATCTGAGACTATTTCAACAAAAAAATTATTGAGAAACCAAGGGAGTGCCCAGGTTAGTGCTAGCAGACGGAGATACAGATAGACAATTTACTGTTTAGTGAGACTGTGACAGTCACAGGTAAACAGATAATGGTAATAACACAACTGGATAGGTACAATGCTCAGAGAAAGACAGTATGAATAAAGATGAATATGCTGCTTAAAGTAGTTTATTACTGGAAGGTATCCAAAAACCAATTATGTACCTGGAATTTACTGACACATAAAGTGCCAGCAGATGTTTCCAACTGAACACCCCCCCCCCCCCCTTCTTAAGTGCAAGTGCTTGAGAACATGCTTGTCTCAAACCACATGAGTCGGGAGGCTCTCCGAGCGACCCCAGACAGCAGCCACTTGCTACTTGTCGCTATTGAAATCTATTATATTAAACATTCAGTTCCTCTCTAGCCACTTTTCAAATATTCAACTACAGAGCATTCTACAGGATAAAACTGCTGAAAGCTCTTTTAGGATACTATCAAATATGATCATTCATGTACAACATAACACCTAAAGGCAAGTTTGAAGTCAAGATGGGTCTTTAATGCAAGCAGATGTGTGACACCAAGCTCAAATGAATCTTTGATATGTGAATATCACAGAATTTTAAATGTTTTATGTTCTTAATAGTATCTTAAATTATCCTTTCTCATATATGAGAATGTAGAGACTATAATACTTTCTGAAAATTTTGAGTAAAGTCTAAAAAATATTTCTGGCTCAAATAATTTTTCTATTCTTGACACAGTGCAACATAAGATCATGTCTTCTTGTTTTAGATTCTTGAATGTTCCTGGGCCATAGTGCTCCCTCTAGAGGAAAAAGTATGAAAACTAAGATTTTGAAAGCTAAAAGGGCATCAGGTAAAAGTGGAAATACTGGTAGCAGTAAAAATAAAGGTAAAAAAAAAATGACAGAAATTGAGTAAAAAAATGTTGCAAAAATAATATTTTAATTTTCCTTTTCCCGATATAGTATAACGGTAAGGAACATAGTTTGGGGATAACTAACAAGAATCTTATCAATAATAAATTAATTAATGATTTCTACCTAGCGTTGAGTTTGTCATAGTTTATCTAATTTTGTCTTTAAATTTCTTTAATGAAAATCTATAAACTTTGCAGTTCCCAGCTTTTTCTAGATTATAGATTCTGTAGTTAGAAAAGAGGGAGAACATTTGCTTTTACTTTTAGAGTAATATGATGTATTTCCAAATGTATTTTTTGAGAAAGTGTCTCAGGGGCAAAGTATAAAATGTTAAAATTTTTGAAAAGTTAAGTTAATATGCAGGCAAGATATTTTTTTCATTTACTACAGATTTTGAAAATCCATTGAGCTGAAACTGGTTTATAGAAAATCCAATTCACTTAAAGTTAACCATAATGGGCTAAAGAAACTAGGTTGTGAGTGCTCATAAGCTGGGTCAAACATTTGTTGTTGTTGTTAACATATACAGCTGATTATAAAGTACTTTTTCCCTTGCCACCTGAATTTATTTAATAAGACACTTGTACATGTTGGATAGCACTCCAGATGTTATAAGAATCATGGGAAACGATACTGATGGCCTTAAATTGCCCAGTTTCTAGTACCTGCACAGGAAATATTTATAGTTTATTTATTATAGGAACATATAACTTGCTAGTTCATGTTCAGCCCTCACTAGAACATTGTTTGTATTCATTTAGGCATTCACACATGATACAACACACATTAAGTGTTTAGCAGGTGCTGGTTACTGGGTTCCAAAACGAATGAGAAAAACTCCTTATCTTTGAAGAATTTACAAGATACTGGGGGGAAAAGGCTAAAATATGATAATTATAATGGGATGCAGTATGCTAGAGAAATGAACTGTAGAGTGGGAGAGAAATACAGAAACGCACAAGGTGGCTGCTTTATTTTTTATTATTATTATTTTAATTCATATTTTATTGATTTTTTACAGAGAGGAAGAGAGAAGGATAGAGAGTTAGAAACATCAATGAGAGAGAATCATCGATCAGCCACCTCTTGCACACCCCCTACTGGGGATGTGCCCGCAACCAAGGTACATGCCCTTGACCGGAATCGAACCTGGCACCTTTCAATCCGCAGGCCGACGCTCTATCCACGGAGACAAACCGGTTTCGGCCAAGGTGGCTATTTAAAGCAGACAGAGTGCAGTGCCTGAGTGGAGCGAGTCCTTCTGGCTCAGGACAGTCTGTGTCTCCCTCCCAGGCTGCCTCTGAAGCTCCATGCTGATCCTGGTGCCCTGATTCAAGACTCCTGACACAGTGTCTGCTCTATGGTCGACTAACCCTGGATTAACCCTTTATTCCAATTAAACCTGGCACAGAAAAAATCCTTGGGCTTCTTACCAAAATCTAATCCAACAGGATCTCCACCTCTTATCAGAATGCCCCGCCAAACCTCTGCTTAGAGCAACAGTCTTCCCCAGGAAGAGGGACGGATGAGCAGGGGCAGGAAGACCAGACTGACCAGCAGCTTACCCACAACGACAACTTCCTCACCTGCAGCGTGTGAGGGGGGAGCTGTGCCTTACCTTTTCCAGTGGGCAATGGGTACTGTCTCGGAGAAATGGAAGTAAGTTTGGTCGATCATATTCAGCATAAAGGCTGATCTGTTTTTCATGGTAGCGCTGCCCCTTATGATGGTCTCTCTTGAAAAGCTTATGCAGATACTAAAAAGAACAAAGGGGTAAATCAGGAATGTTAAAATGAGAAAAGCAATACCTGTTTAATACCTTACAAGAAAAAAAAAAATCTGAATGTGAAAGAGAAATATCTTTGTCAGAACAAGGAGACTCAGACACTTTCTCTGGCCCAGAATGACTTGGCTATATCACTTCCTATCCAGTGGGCAAGTCACCAATCTCTCTGTGACTGAGTTTCTTTACCTGCAAAAATCTCATTGGGTTGCTGTGCGGTTTGAAGGAGTTGCCATTTGTAAATCACTCAGAACCACGCCTGGCACACACTAAGCATTACAGAAATGCTAATGATGGTACAGTTGACCCTTGAACAACAGGGATTTGAACTGTGTGGGTCCACTTATATGCTAATTTTTTTCAATAAATATACTGTCACCTCTCTGTATCAGGGGTTTCGCATTGCAGATTCAGCCAACTGCAGATCAAACACAGTATTTTTTATCTGAAGCTGTGGAACCACGTTGTGGATGGCTGAGTGTATGCTTTATTCTATGCTATTTTATAAAAGGCGCTTGAGCATCTGCACACTTTGGTAACCACAGGGGGTCTTGGAGCCAGTCCCCCAGGATACAGAGGGGTGACTGTAGTGAAGTTTTTGGAGAGTCAAAGGTTATACACGATCTTCACCTCTGTGGGTTAATCCTGGCATTGTTCAAGGGTCAACCATAGTTGTTTATATTGTCACCATCACCTATTTTGCTGCAGTAATAAAACACTTGATTAGTGATCTTTCTAGATCATAAAAATTCTTGCCTTTATATAAAAGGGGATAGAGTTATAGGACAAGAACATGATCTTAAAAATTTGAGCAGTAAGCACTCAATTAATTCTCATACCTTCTCCATCTTCTCTGTTAGGATTATTGAAAATCTGTATTTGCAATGATATGCTGCCTGTACTGGTGACATCAAAGATAAAAATAACAACTAAAAGTCAAGAAGAGTACAGGTATTCTAAATTAATTTTCAAAAGTGATTACTTCCCCTACCTGTCTGAAACAGTTAATGGACTTCAAAGGAAATGAGTAATTCACTTTGCACTCAGAGGCAAGATTAAGTCTATCAATACATCACACAGAAATTGAAATTAATGTTCAATTAATGTAAACAAACATCCCATAACCCATGGGAGGCTAAAGGACTGCATCATACCGTTCATGTAAGTGCATTCAAACCTCTAGAAAACTGGTTCAGAAGAAGCACAGAGCATCCACTTGCCCCTGAAGTTGATGCGTCTGTGGGTTAGGTGACCTTTGACATTCTCTGATGTTAGGGTCACTAAAGAAGCCTGAGCACGACCAATACATCTTCCAAAAGCAGGAAAGGGAGAACAGTCAGGCAGACCTCCACGCAGTCTGACAGAGGCAGCTGCCCTCCGCTGACCCTGGCTGGGGTCAGCGTGTGAGCTGGACACACAGAGGCATAAGCAGGAAGGGAAGGCTGTCACATCAGCAGGAACAAATGCACAGAGACATCCCATTATCTGACTTTAGGGTGAGGTCGCCACCATTTCCCTAATGCACTAATTACACTATTTACAGTCACACAGGCACCCACCACCTGTGATCCTCCCTCATGGCACAAGAGAGTCCAAAATCATTGTTTTATAAACAAACGCCAGGGTGGCCAGCACAGTGCCATCTTGCTTGGGTCAGCAGATAATCTTGAGATTTCCAGTCACAAGCAACACAGCAACAGCATCTGCACAAAACTGTAATACTCTATTCCCAGAGCCTCCTCCTGGGGTACAAAGAGGTGGGCTAAGACACAGGAGCACTCTCCACCAGAATAATCCCTATTGTCACGGAAGCCTTTTCTTGACAGTTTTTAAAGGACACAGCAAACACCTACTCCTGCTTTACTCCCATGATGACAGCAACGCAGACAAACAAGATATTCCCCAGATCCAGAACAGAGGGCCTTAACAGCATCACCGCCAAGACCACTCCAGTGAAGTGGGATTAACAACTGTCAAGTGAGGGGGAAAAAAAATAGACTATCCCTTGATCATTCTGTGGTGTTGTAATCTGTAATAATAAAAGCGTAATATGCTAATTAGACCAGACGTCCTTCCAGATGTCCTTCCTTCTGGACAAAGCCACAGTGAGCAGGGGCTGAGGCAGAAGCGTTAGAGGCCCCCAACCATGGCAGTGATGGGTGGAAGGCCATGGCGGCGGTGGTGGCGGGAGCCCGGGCCAAGGCCCTTGCATGCATTTCATACATTGGGCCTCTAGTCTATATATAAAAGCCTAAGCGACTGTTTGACCATTTGACCATTATCTGTGATACATACTGAACACCAGGGGCAGACGCTCAACGCACATGCATGGAAATATGGAACAGACTGATGAATCTCAGAGGGAAGGGGGGAAAGGAAAAAGTAGGAAGAGATTAACAAATGATCCTATATGCATACTAGAGGCCTGGTGCACGGATTCATGCACCACTGGGGTCCCTCAGCCTGGCCTGAGGGGATCAAGCCAAAACTGGCCTGGTGCATGGATCTGTGCATCAGTGGGGTCCCTTAGCTTGGCCTGTGGGGATCGGGCCGAATCCGTGCACCACGCCTCTGACATCCTTGAAGGGTCCTGGATTGTACAAATCCATGCCCAGGGCCTCTAGTTTATGCTACAATTATGTCAAACAGCAATGATAGAAGGAAGGTGCTTACTCCCAGGCACAGTTTGATCAATACAAAAATAAATAAAAATTTTTTTTTAAAATCACAAATCACTTGTGAGTCAAATGAAAGTGTCTGATTTGTAACCTAACCTGGATGCAGAGCACATGCTGAACATTAATAATTACAGAACACTGTTTGTGGTCAAACTTGCAATCTGAGTATGAACATGGAGAGTTCACTGCAGGATTCTCTCCCCAATACTGAAAGGTGATGTGTCCCACTACGCAATCTAAAGGGCAAAAGAAGACGATGGTTATGCTCACCACATGTTGTAATTCTGGTCTGTCTTCTAATTCTTCCACTACCTTTTTAATCTGGAGAAAAAAGGAAAATTTTAAACACAGAGTTATGAGGACAGGAATATAGGTGTAACATTATCTGATAAACATCTGTTCTCTTCTTGGTTACAACAGTACCAGACACTCACCTGCTAACATATATAAATAAATAAATAAATAAATAAATAAATAAAAGACAAAGAAATAAAAGACACTTACTGAAATTTTATCTTCATTGTCCAAAAGCATGTCAACAGCTTTCTGAAATTAAAAAAAAATAAAATAAAAAATTGCCACAGTTATTGAAATTCACCAGATAAGAAGAGAACACTGAACACAATGTATTGTATTTGCTGTCAGTTAAAGGGAGGCTTATTTCCATACATAAGGAGGTCCTTAGCCTTACAATCACCATTAAGTGATATATTTATAAAGGAATGCATTTTAAAATGGGCCTCAACCTGAGGTCTATGTGTTCTGCATACTCCTGAAATAGTATCTTGTCATCATTCATCAAATACTAACTATCTTGACTACACACATCTGAGAGCCTCCTTGACCCCTTAGGTATCTTCAAAAGTTCTCAAGTGAATCTCAGTAGTTAGGGAGAAAGATGAGCTTTTTCTTCTGGCCACCTGATTTTTGACCAAGTCTCTTTACAGATCTCACAGATGTAAGGAGCTGATCTTACGTGGAGAAGAGGATAAGAGCCAGAAAAAGTAAGATACCTACAGTCTGAAAATGACATAAGGCTTATGGACCTTTACAATTTACTTTAGCTACCTTGGATATTCACAAAATACAAAGTAGGCTGTGTCTGCAACAAGATCCCACGAGACTGAGCCTCAGAATACCCAGGTCCTGTTCTTGCCTCTGCTCCTCCCTACATGTCTGCTCCAGAGAGGTTTTTTTCTTCTGAAATATGAGGATATTTAGAGATTATCCTTCAGGTATGTTATAGTTAGAAAACTCTATGATTCCTTAATGTTGGTTCATACTCTTGACTAGCAATTAGTTTTGGCTCATTCACCTTTTTTTTTCTACAGCTACATTTGCAAAACTAGATTCTTGAGACACATGGATATGTAAATAAGGAGGCATAAGGACATGGGCAAGTATAATAATTTTTATTAAGCATTTAATCCTCTTAATTATCTCTGCCAGAGAAGCAGAACTTCTATACCTGAATTTCCTGGGAACTGCAATAATTCATTTTAGAGCTGCAGTTCCTGAGGACTTGATTCATTCAGAATGAAAAATGGGCTAAAATTATCTTTAAAAAAGTAAATTTACCTCCTATTTAAATTAAGTTTAAGAAGACTAATAAATAGCACATAATATATGTATAACATATGTATATGATACAAATATACATAATATAGCATATAATACCCTTAAATACATTCCATTTCAAAATAAAATTGAAAAAAATCCAAGTATACCTTTTGGTTCCTAAGGTTCTCCTGTGATTTATCTAAATGTTCTATTTTCTGAATAAAAACTACTGTGTTTATGAATCTCTATATTTCAATCTCTAGAACCTATCATCATTGGCTTTTTCTTATACACACACACACACACACACACACACATACAGTTTGTATCACTTTACAAGGGCCGCTATGACTAATTGCATTAATCAAGCAATTCACTTCAAATTTGTCTTACAATAAAATAACACATTTCACATGTCTTGGACCTAAGTGTCACCTGAGACCAGTGGATACTCCACAAGCTCAATCTGTAAATACCAAGGAATAAAATTACAATAAATAGATCAAAATAAAACTTTACTTAAAATTTCAATCCTGGAACATACAATTAAGAGAACTGAATGAGTCAAAGCATATAGTTTCTTTGTTTCTATGAATTATGTGAATTGTTTTACTAAAAATTTATTTCACACACAATTTCAAAAGTTTTCATCAAATTATGATTGCTTTCACAGAAACATCACATCAAATAAAGGATTTCTGAATGCCAACTTCTAAAATATCTAACATATAGAGATAGTTGGAGTGTTCTGAACACAATCAGCATACAGTTAAGCTATGTGATTTATTAGCTACTCTAGATTTGGATAGATGTCTAGTCACTAAAAAATTGGAGGAGTAAAAATAAATTATCACCATTAAAATAAAAAAAAGCATTACCTCGGAATCAAAATCCATTAACAAAACAATTTTATCCTTGATAGAGCTGAATAGATTATGCTTGTGAATCAACTGGAAAACATCCTTATGTCTTAAGGTTAAGTATATTTCCAGAGCATTGCCATAGTTTTTATCATAGGTATACCTGGTAATAAAAATGTTTTACATTAATGTTCATTAACACTTTTACTTAAACCCATATATTCATATAAAAATCATGTTTTACAATATTAAAAAATGAAAAACAGGATTAGGAAGAAAAGTTTTTTGTTTTTGTTTTAACTATACCTTGAGATTTAACTATACATGACCAATAAATATTTCTTTCTCACAATGTTGCAATATTTTAGAAAATTTACAGTATTCAATAAAAATGTTATTTTATAGAAATTCTTTTTTAAAATAGAAATCCACATATCAGACAAACAAAACAAACAAACAAAAAAAACCCAAACAAACCCAAAAAACAAAAAACACACCCTATTATCCAGAATGAAGGAAATGCTTATTCGAGTAGTAGAAAAATCAGTTCAAATTCTTATAAACAGTATTCAGCTGATAAATAATGACATTCCAAAAGCTTACTGATAAGGGAGCTGTATAAAATGTAATTATTTTGTTGTTGTTAAAACAATGGTGTTCACATTGCTTAAATCCGGAAATCCAGCTGAACTAACCTGCACTGTGTGTCCAGGATCAGTCCTACAGAATTATTAGTATCGTTGGTGTGTTGTTGGTACTACAGAATCTAAGGAATGTCTATAACAATGTTTCCAGAAGAAAATGATGAATGCCACAAACACAACTCCCTCTATGCCAGGACCTTCCTGGGTCATGGCAAAAGATGTGAAATGGGCAGGAAGTGGTGGGATGCAAGGAGGGCCGGAAGCAGGAACTGTCATTCTGAGATCACCTGCAGTTGGCTTCTTGTTCACTAGACCAGCAATCGCCAACCTTTCGGACCTCACAGACCACCAGTGGCCCATGGACCACTAGTGGGCGACCACTATACTATCAATAGACCACGGCTCTGTGAGGGCCTGGGCGTGCCTTATCCATCTTTCTGTGACCGGCATATAGCACAGAGCCTGGGCCACTTTGTAAAAGTACCGATAAATATGAAACATAATCCAGATTCCATTTCCTACACCCTACATCAACGCTAGGTACTGTCCTTAGTTCTTGATTATGACAAATCACTTAAGTCTTAAAAGCATCCCCTAAGGAATTGTTACCTAAAATCTTACAGATAAGGAGTCTAAGGTCTGAGAGACTTACAGACCAGAGATCCAAGAGCGACAGAATCCACAGTCTCGTGGGGAAACCATTCTGCCTATGTAATCTCAGACGCAGCATCCTTCCCTCCCTGAACCACCGCCTCTACTAAGTACTGCTGACCAGGACTCTTCTCCTTTAGGAAACAAATTACGTTACAATTGCACACATTTTTCTTGCCTCATAGTTGTTCACTGAAGGCTCATGAAAGGCTTTCACTAAGAGGGAATATAGAAAAATGGTATAAAGGGCTCCCTTCCTTCTGTCCTCCCTACTCAGAGTTTACCGGACCTAAAATAGGAAAAACATCCCATGTAGACCGATTTGAAAAAAGCAGCACTAAGTCATACTCACAGTTCTGCCAGGGTCTGAAGTAAGGTCCTGTTCTGGCTGTCTTTCTTCAGGTGCTCCCGAACTGCTTGAACTATGACCGAATTGTTGTACAGATCTCCGGGCCATTCTCGGACCAGCGTGGCAAAACCCTAACCAAGGGGGAGGAAGGAAGAACACTATTTAAATAGGTAAACGATCTAAATAGTCTGAATAACGCCTCAAAGTATTCATGGAAACAGACAAAATAATTTTATGATAGAAACCTTGGTCCATAAATGTATCAATTTTCAGACTATAGATTTGGGGATGGCCAAGAGAGGCAGAATTACTGCACCCTAATTGCTATTCACCACTCCTGGGAAGTAGGTGGTGTCATCCACGTCTACTCTTAATTGATGAAATGCACAAATAAGAAATGCCCTCTGGTCCTCCAATGAAGCATCACTGCACAGGGAGAATGTGGGTTTGCCTTGCTCTGTCCTCATTCTGCATGTGGATGGCATTGCTAACATCCTACAGACACTGTCAGGTCAGCTCCTCACCCATCGCCTCTCACGCACGTTAGGTCTGGGCTGCACAGCCAACCAACGGCTCACCGTGGCTTGCCCCACCGGGGAATCGCCCAGCATCCTTCAGCAAGGTACCCTCCTTGTCCTCCTCTCCCTCCGCCTCTAAATCTGGTTTTGTTTGGGGATTTGAGACTTTGGTTCAAGTCTTATCCCCTAGCTCTGACCTTATCATTAGGTCTCAAATTCTGTGGTTCTGATAGAAAACCCCAGATCACCTGGCTCTCGTTTCTCTCCCATGGCTGATTCTTGGCCTATGTCCCGGGCAGCCTCTGCCTCCAGATTCCTGCCGTTAGCCTCAGGTTTTGTAACTCACTACAGTAGAGCAGCTTATGTACTGATCCTGGACAACTTTTAGGAACAACACCGCAAATACAAGTAAAACTTTTCATATTATTGAAAAAGATCATGTTAATATTAAATAACTCAACCAACGCTTCAATAAACGACTTTGAATTTGTTTCAATGATATTTAGAAATGAAAACTGTGTGGTGCAATTTGCTTCTGTAAAGTATCGGGATTTGGTAAGAAAATCACAGATAAGTCAGGAATTCAGTCTCCATTAAAGGCCTACACACTTTCTCCTAACATGACCCTCAGAAAGGATGGTGAGACACTACAGCAACAGGCGACACATTTCCATCCAAACAGCAACCTTCCTGCACGTGAGCATGACTGCAGTTTGACTGACATCTGAGGACAGATCATTCTCTGTGGCAGGGCCTACTGTGTGCTCTGTGAGATGTTTAACAGCATTCTTGCTGGCTTCTGCCCACCGAATGACAGCAGCACAAATTCGTCTGCGGGACAAATCCAGCCACTGTCGAGAACCGCTGGTTCCCATGCTTGGGTGTGACTCAGACTACGAGTGACTGCTGAAGGACCATCATCCCATTCACACTTGCATGCCTGGTGCCTAGCACATTCCTGGAATAGAGTAGGAACTAAACAGATACTTTCAGGTAAATGTGCGTTAAATTAACAAACTTTAAAAATTATAATCCATTTTGGATGCAAGCAAACTTAAATTATAATTTGGCATGCTATTTATTAAATGTATGGCCTTGGGCAAGTTAGTTAATTTCTTCATTCTTTAGTTTCCTCACCTGTAAAATTGAAATTACTGTGTAGAGTGCTATTGGGAGCATAACATCACAATTTGCATGTAAAAGTGCAGTATATGGTAGATAATCAATCCATGTACTGCCTTTCTTTTAATAAGCAAACAGATCATTTCCAATTCCTTGCTCCATTCCTACCCCTTCAATTTCTCCCTAATTCTCCTTTGGCAAATTTAGTTCTGAATTTCACACATTAGGAAGCTCTGATTTCTTAAGGGGGATTATACACAGCAATTGCAGCTGCTATTCCATTTATGAAATCCCCAAATGGCACAGAGTCCCTTTTTCTATTAAGGTGGTAACTTAAAGAAAATCTCCAAAATTTACATGGGTTTGAGATTTTCTCCATCTCCATTAACATTAGTAGTCATTAGAATTTATCTCAGTTTCATCTACCACTCACAAACTGCAAATCAGTTAACTTTAAAAACAGTTGCTCCATTATATTATTTTTCTAAAATTCTTAATATTTTTTCATTGAGAACAAGTAAATATGACCATGCCTAAATGCCATACCTCATAATCACTTTCCAAAAATTCGTGTAAGATCATTTCATAAATGAGTGGTTTCAGAACTGGATCCCCTCTTGGCAAATAAGGACTAATGGCCTAAGGAAGAAAAGGGAAAAATCAAAACATAATAAAAATCTTTAAAAAGTGGTGAAACAAAACTATACTCCAATAATGCAGAAAACATAAACTTACATTTTCAATTTTAAAATTTAAGGCAACAAAGTACTTTAGGAAATTATTATAAGGAGGAAAAATTCAAATAAATTCTATTTTCTTATATCATCATTTTTTTTTTTAATGTATCTATGAGGGATATGTATGCCTGAGTGAATAAATAAAAATTGCCTAGGGTAACCTGCACATCTCTGTTCTTTCTGTTGAATTAATGAAAATCTAAATAATAAGAGGGAGACAATCACAGAGATTTATATTAAAAGGAGGATCAGCATGAGCACAGTCATCGGGCCATGAAAGCATACTCTGTATCCAGAGCAGCCACAGATGTGGAATGAGGTCATGGAAGGGAAATGAGGCTGGAGAGGAAGGTGAGGCGGGTCTTGAAAGGAGTTCAGATCTTATCACGTGGGCAGGAGGCAAACAACAGGTATTGGGGAAGTGAGAGCAGCACATTGATTTTTTAAACAGCTAACTCTGGGTCAGGGTTGCTGGTAGAGCTATCAAGAGTTAAGGCAGCAGTACCAGAAGGGAAGCGAGAGGCCCTATTGATACTCACAGGGTAAAACTGACAAGAATTGTAGATTAAATAGAATATGGAGAGTTAGGAGTTCACATCAAAACAGTGGCATTGAGCTACTAAGCAGGTATAACGTGATGTCATAAACACAGATTGAAAGGAGAATGACTGATTTGGGAAGAAAATGGAGTCACATTAATTTGAGTGCCTTATCAATAATATATAATACAGTAAAAAATGGCTACCACACACTTCTAACATAGATAAGGTACTCAAAAGGGAGATCTAGGTGATGGAGGCACCTGGTAAACATGGCCACAGGACTAGGTAACACACTCCAGAAGGAGCCCGATAAACAGGAGGGGCAGCGTCCTTGGTGGTTTCCCGGGGAGGAGAACACATATGGGGCTGATCAGCTGAGTAACTGGGAATTTTTAAAAGAATATTCACAACGCTAAGAGACCAATGAAAAGATCCCCACACGTTAAAGTTATCTTTTTTTAAATAAACAAATGTAGGAATACTTTATTAATTTGATATTGTGCACCAAGTTGAAAGACTTTTAAAAAATGGTCCTGGCTGGTGTTGGTAAGTGGTTAGAGCATAGCCCCACACACTGAAGGGTTGCAGATTCCATTCCCGGTCAATGGCATGTACCTGGGCTGCATATTCAATCCCCTGCCCAGACTGGGGCATCTGCAGGAGGAAACCAATCAGTGTGTTTCTCTCTGATCGATGTTTCTCTCTCTCTCTCTCTCTCTCTCTCTCTCTCTCTCTCTCTCTCTCTCTATTTCACTATCTCTCTCTCTCTCTCATCATCTATATAGCTCCCTCCGACATTCCTCCCCCTACATCCTTTCTCCTTCCCTTACATCCCATTCTCTCTATAAAAACCACTGGAAAAAATATCCTTGGGTGAGGACAAAACAAAACAAATATTAAAAAATAAAGTATCAAAATTATTTGTTAGAGCTACACAAACTTTTCCATTTATTTTACAGCAAGTAAAATATTATTTTAAAAAGCATTCATCTTTAGTGAATTTGAAAAAAACACACACAAAACACCCTCATTTTTTATAATCTACTGGATGAGACTGTACCTACTTTTCACATCCACGAAAAAGAACATGACTAGTCCTGGCCAGGTGGCTTAGCTGGCTGGAGCCTCACCCTGTGCACCAAGAGGTCGTGTGTTCAAATACCAGTCAGGGTACATAGTACCTCCATTTTGGGTTCAATCCCCAGTGAGGGCCCATACAGGAGGCAATCAATTGATGCTTCTCTCATCAATGTTTCTCTCATTCTCTCCCCCTCCTCTCTCTCTCTCTAAAACATAACCTCTCATGAAGATTAAATAACAAAAAACACACTAAAAAACATAACTAGCCCTGGTTCAGTCGGTTAGAGTCATCCTAATTCGCCAAGGTTGAAGGTTCAATCCCCAGTCAGGGCACATACAAGAAACAATCAATGAATGCATAAATAAGTGGAACAAATCTTTTTCTCTCCCCTCTCTTCTCTCTAAAATCAATCAAGAATTTTTTTGTTTTAAAAAAAAAAGGAATATGTAAACTTCATCTGAACACAGAACTGGAAGGGGATAAGAAAGTGAACACATCATTTATATATTACATGTTCATTTTTATACATATAATATATAAACTAACTTTTAAACTAATTTCGGAAAGTTTGACTTTTCTTCCTAGGTGAGATAATACTTCCTAATAAAGAAGTCACTATTAGTGTCTTAATTTATTTCCATCTCAATAAAGACATACCTAGTTTTATTGCACTTAGCTTTATAGCACTTCACAGATATTGCAATTTTTAAAATACAAATTGAAGGCTTGTAGCAATCCTGCATGGACCAACTCAATTAAAACCATTTTTTCCAGCAGTCTAAGATGATGATTGGCATTTTTTTTAGCAATAAAGTATTTTTTAATTAAGATATGTGTACTTTTTGTTTTGTTATTTGTTTTTAAGATATAATGCTATTTCACATTTAATAAACTACAGTATAGTGTAAACAACTTTTGTATGCACTGGGAAATAAATTCATATGACTTGCTTTATTGAGATATCTGCTTATTGCACTGGTCTGAAACCTATCCCACAATATCTCCGAGGCATAACTATATTAATATACTACATAAAAAAATTAAGAGTTAAAAAAATAAAGTTAGGCTTACCTTAAGCTGTCCAATTTCTTTAAATTTATAAACTTCATATTCCCAGAGTGCTGCATTTTTCCCAAGAATTTTCTGGCATTTGCTAGTAGCAAAAACATCCCAGAGAGAAAGAAAGTTTTAGTAAAAAGAAATAAACCGAGACAGAATAAGTAGACATTTCCCCTCATGTTTTAAATGATTCTCTCATCTCAGAGTTTTGACAAAATTCTATCTCAAGTGGCACTGATACTCACTTGTTTTGTATATACAAGGTTGATGAAAATCATAAAAATACACAATACTTATAAATAAAGATGAATACCTTTCAGAAGACTACATACAATGAGAGGTTTTTCTCATGACTTTCCTATTCTGAGTTTCCTGTTCATCAGATGAGCACTGCTGATCTTGGGACCGTTCTTGCCTTGAAGAAATGTCACCGTACCCTGCAGTGCCAATTTAAGCCACTTCTTCAATGACTTTAAATAATGGACTACACAAGTAGACTTGAGAAAATTAGAATCCTGTCACAGTATCGTATATAATCTGGAGAAGTGTTCACGTATGAAGAAAACTTTACTCCATTTGCACATGAAAGAAACATACGTCCCTAAATCTCAGGGGAGGAAAAGAAGGCCTGAAGGCTCTCTTCCGGTCAGCCCTGTACACGCAGCCTGTAGAAGGACATGTGCAGGACTTAGCCGTAGGCAAAGCCATTCACACGGCTCACCCATACCATCACAGGGATGTTTTCTGCCTACCGCAGACCCCGGCAGACCAGGAAGGAGCCTGCAGTGTGATCATTTCCATTTAATTGCACCGTCTTGTTGAGAGACAATTCTGATTGAATTGTAAGCAGAGGCACTGACTGTCTTTATTCTACACTATCTTCTTCTCAAGGACACTGGTTAAGTGAAGAGCCCTGAAAATGAGAGGACCCCAAAAGTGCTTCCCTCTGGAGCAAAGGGCAGGTTTGTTTTCTGTCCAGTATAATAAAAGTAACATCTTCCTCTGAGGCCAAGGGAAGGCAAGCTTACTGCCCATTATAAATGAATCAGACACCCTAAGTTCAGAGTCCCTCTCCTGTCACATAGCCCACTGCCTGTGCAGGGTCACCTGGCCCTCTCTGTGCAGTGTGGTGGCATCTGGCACAAACGCTGGTGTTAGGCTACTACTATTGCTCAGGCACCCCTGAAACTGTGACAGGGTAACCTGTTAGCTTATAAAATCTCAGGTTTGGCTCAGTGGTAGAGCGTCGGCCTGCAAACTGAAAGATCCCAGGTTCGATTCCAGTCAAGGGCATGTACCTTGTTTGCGGGCACATCCCCAGTAGGGGTTGTGCAAGAGGCAGCTGATTGATGATTCTCTCTCATTGATGTTTCTAACTCTCTATCCCTCTCTCTTCTGCTCTGTAAAAAATCAATAAAATATATTTTAAAAATATCAGATTTTTCATGGTTTTTGACACCTTTATCATTAATGAGGTAAGTATTTGTTTGGTAAAAATTAGATAGTAGGTGGTTAAATAATTGTGTATATATATATATCTCAATTCATTCTGTGGTTAAAATCATGAATAGTCAAAATTTATCCATTAGAAAGATTAAATAAAAAACATCTGTCAACTGTAGAGAATAGCTTATTTTTACTGCTAACATTGACCAGTTCTATTTACATTAGCAAGTAAATGTCATTATTACCGTGCTGCTATGTCATACTCTCCTTTTTCCACTAGGTGGTTTATATATGCCAAGCCGATGTCCTAGAGAAAATTAAATGAAGGAATTTCATAATTAACTGGAACAATTGAAAAGTTGAGTCTGTTTCTGAGGAGGCCATGACATTAGGGCCCTGTTAGCACTACTGACTGGAACCTATTTATACATCTTAGTTTGCTTTATATAATTATGCTCTTTTTTCCTTAAGTACATTTCTGTAATTATATTCATTCCCTTCCTGATCACCTTTAAATATACTTGTATTTTCACAAATTTTAGAATTTGCAAAGAGCTTTCATCTGTAAAATGTGAGCTACCTGTCTATGTCAAGTCTGAAGAAATGCTCTAAGTAAAACAAAATGATAGGACATCATATTAAAGGGAAATATTAAAAGTAATGTTCAAGTGAAAATAAGACCCCAAAAATATGTAATTCAAACCCTTGAGTTTACAAATGAGGAAACTGGGTTTCCAGATGAATAAACATGAATACTCTGACTAGATTCACTCTCTCTCCTGCAACCCCTTTGTCTTTCTCTTGTTCTCTCTCTCTCTCTCTGAATGGCATCACCATCCACCAGCCAAAGCCTGGGAGTCAGCCTACATTTCTCGCTCTCACTTCCCTATGCACACAGAGCTGGTCACCAAACCCCAGAGTCTAGTTGACCATGTCTTCCATCTATCTTCACCACTCCATTCCTCTCAACTCTGCAGGTCTCATCACTTCCACCTCCACACCAAGAAGGAAATCACACCTCATTGGTTCCCATCTCAGCTGGCCTCCCTCTGGCCCCCATCTCCATCAGAGAATTTTTCTAACAAGCAAATGCGATGAGGCACTGAAAGCTCAACCTGTCTTCTAGAGACTCCAAAACAGAGCCAAGCTCCTCATTCCACATGGCCCTTCTGAATCAGACTCTTCCTATGAAAAAGCCCCTCACTGTTCCACATAACCAAGCAGGCCAAGCAGTTTCACCATCACATATATTATTGACTGGAACATCTTCTGCCTCATTCCCTGCTTCTTCTCCACAATTTTGAATAATAATAATAATAAAAAGATGCTCTAGTTCTTTCTCTGTTTAGTTCCTGAGTTTTTTTGCTTGTACATTTTTGAGAATTAGGCCTTTATGTGACATTTTACAGAGAAGTTTAAGGTAGGAGAAATATGGTCAAAAGGAATTTGTGCTGAAAACAAGTAGCCATAAAAGACTAAATTTCCAGCCTTTCTCTGTAAATAAGAGTCCTGGGCTAGATGGTCTCTAGGGACGCTTCACACTCAGAGGATAAGATTTGTTTTCTGCTTTCCTTCTGCACATTCACTGTCACAGTTAGCAAAGAAATAGGCTTTCAGTCACTATATTTTTCCAGAGTCCAAATGTAATAAAAATGTATTTGATGTCCTAGATTAGTCTCCATAACAAAATCAATTGAGTCTGTTATTATGGAAACACTGAAGCAATCCACTTTCATGAAACTACTCTTGATACATTTTGTGATAATGTGATTTTACCTATGACTTAAAGAAATCTCACCACACATAACTGGAAAGCTTTGTATTTAAAATGTATTTCATAAATCCGGTTTCCAAATTACCTACAACTACCTCCTAGCAGGTGTTCAAGCCTCTTGTTTACAAGCAGAAACTGATTCAATAAAATGAAATATTTTGATCTTACAGGTTGGTGAATTAGTTTGAAAGAAATTCTCAAAAGGCAGAAAGAATCAGTTCTTTTTAAATTACTTTCAATTTCATCATAACTTATTGAAAGGTAAAGCTATATTTCAAATAATAAAATTACTCACTTACCAGAATCTTATGTCTTTTAATGTTCTTTTGGCTAATTTCAGCTGCCATCAAAGCTTCCTATATTTACATGAGCATGATAAGAGGAGGAGGAAAAATGGGAGAAAGTGAGAAAGACAGGGGGTTATAAACACTATATTTATTATGTTTTAAGAGTTCTACACTACATAAATAAAGCCCCATTTTCCTGCAGCTTTTGCTTCTAGCATAGGAATTGCTAATGTTATGGCTGAATGAACCTCACTGCATTCAAACTCAAACAAAAGCAGCCAACCAAAATGCAGACTCCTCTTATTTCCAGCTGAATTCATTTCCACATTAGGATATTAGAATTACTTTGCAGGCAGAAATCAAAATGTACCTACAGCTCCCAGGTTCAAACAAAAAAAGCCATCTATCATTCTAAATCTGTATGAGTTATATTGACAAAGAGATACTTTTTCTTTGTGAAACATAAAAAGTAAACTATATGCATATGCCTAGGTATATCTACAAATAACATTTTGCAACTCTCTGATTTAATTTTTATTCTGTAAAGTTTATAATGATTACTTTAACACAAATGTTTAAAACACAGAATTATTTCTTTAAGAAACTACTGGAGCTAAAGCAATAAGGTATAAACTTAGTATCAATGTCTGAACTCTAAATAGTTTATAAGTTAAAAACATTTCCCTCCAATCCTTTCAGGTGGTTACAAACTTAAAGCAACACACTAGTATAAATAGATTATGTTTGTTTGTTTTTAGCTGATTAGTATAAAAACCCATCCAGAGAGTTTCTATAACTAAACCTACACAAAAATGGCTTTCTGGTTACTGAGGTTAAAGTTCAGGTTCTTATCCTTTAAAATTAATCTGAACTCATCGAAGAGGATAGTTCAACCAACCTAAGTGAGCATTAACTTGACAGCTTTACTTATATAATATATATGAAATAAGCACCAAAAAAATGATTCCACGAAAATATCCAAACAGACAATTCTAAAATACTAGCACTATTTTATCTCTCTTGAATAAGCACAAAATAACACTTCAACAGGCTGGGTGAAACCCCTTCCCTCCCTCCATTACCAACCCTTCTTCCATTAAACAGTAAAGCTAGTTAACCTCCTTGTGATCTTTTCCCCAAAACATTTCTAAAAAGGAATACTGGAAAGTTATTAGTCTCCAACATGATTTCTAGCATAGGGCATTCTAATTCACCCACATCAAAGATTTATCACAGAAACCTTTTATCCTCTATGCTACAGATGTGCCCATACTTTCAAGAAAGTGAAATCAAAACTACCTCATATTTCTTCTTTTCAAGGAGCCAGTCAATGTGGTCATCTTGGTCCCGTTCCTTCGCTACCACGACATCTCTTGGACTCACGATGTAAAAGAGGGATTCCCCTTCAGAATACTCTATGGGTGAGAGAGAGAGGGACATCTGGGCAACTCAACGGCAGAAACCTGGGCAGTGGTTTTAAGGGAGTTGGTTAGGCAACCCAACTTAGTAAGCGTGAACAGAAAACTTGACACCTTTGGTTGTGCATTTGGTTTTGATTGAAGGTAGGGGTGGGACAAGGTAGAGAATGATAGAATATATCCTAGTGCTTTAAAAAATATTCAATTGTAAAATTATTTGGAAGGAAAAAAGAAAGGGAAGGAAAAGGAAAGGAAGGAGGTAAGGAGGGGAGAAATGCCAAAAATATTTTTTAAAAAATAAGGCGAGTTTAAAATTCTGTGTTTAATATATTCTAACTTCAGCTGAAAGGTAATGTTCAAAATTCTCCATGTCTACTGCATATCAGAATTCATGAACTATATATATAAACTTTATTAATGGCCATTTACAGCACTGTCCTATTTTTATAGAACAACCACACCCCATAGTTTGCAATAAATGTTTCCTCCTCATCAAGGTCAAGGCCATCTAAAGCATAAGTGACAGATGCCCCGAGCCCTTGGGATATAATCTGTCATTTCAGCATGGTGTGCACAATGCCGATTGTGAGGGCTTCCTGCAGAATTCAATTATTAGACTTGTTCTGAAGGGGTTCTAAGTGTGCAGCAGAGTTTGCTCGGAGCAAAATACCTAGACTGGACCCTCTCCACTGTGAGTCACGTTTGCTTTTTGCCAAGTCCAGAATACTCTCCTCACACTTCTCAGATGATCAGGGGATTCATATAAGATACCTCAAACATGTATAGAGTAATTCTTAATTTGCTTTGGTTCAAATGAGAGCTAAAAATATCACAATTGTGATTTGTCAATTGTCTTTAAAGCAGAACTTCTTGAAAGCCTAAGCTGTTCTACTTTCATCAATGCGTTTTTGAAGGATGTGATAATACCCAAACACAGATGACAGCAGTTTTTCCCTTTATTTGTGAGCAGTGACTGACTATGTTCCTTTATCCACTCAAGAAAATACTCAGCGAATCCCTAGTAAGTGCCGGGCACTCTGCTAGGCTCTGAGTGTTTGGTGACAAACAGAAAGATAACCTCTCTGCCATCCCAGAGCACACTGTCTATGGACATAAAGTTGAGAGTAATTAGAACATGCTGCTTGACATCAATGTAGCTTAGGTGTCACTTTAAAGAGTTTGGGCCATAGATCAAGTATAAAAACAAAGACCCCAGAGCCTACTCACCTCCATACTGGCCCCATCATTTCCCCTCCCCCTTCCTTCTGCTGCTGGGGGAGCTCAAGCGAGTTCTGTAGTGTCTCTCAGCCTCGATGCCCACATTTGCAACCTAAGATGCCTGCCCAGTTATTCTCTAAGATCCTTTCAGCACCTCAATTTAAATTCCTGTTGTGCTACTCGAGTGGAAGGGAGGTGGGGGGCGGGATATAAATGTAAGCAATACCATAAGCCAGCCCCTCCATCTGTCTCACCTAAGTGATAATCCCGACATTCGTTTTCCTGGAAGCCTCTCACTGTCAGAGCATCGGAAGAGATCTCTTCACAGGCCTCGGAGAGTGGCTGGATAATATCCAACCTGGGCCGGGCACAGTATTCTCTTTCCTAAGGGGGCAAAAAGGAGAATGGAAAAAGCTCATTTGAATGACAGCTATACAAATTATGCAAATTAAATTTAGCTAGCCATAATTAAACGCCTTGGTTGTATCATTTCGGCAGATCGAAGCCCTTCTAGCCACCTGACACAGATAGCCTCAGAGCTGTGTTTTATTTTCCGACCTTTCCATGGGATAAACAGGACAGGTACTACTGTGCCATGTCAGCAGCCCACGAGTGCAGCCCACTCAACGCCACGGCAACCCCAGCCTTAGACCACTTTCTTACACCTCTTCATCACAAATAAAATGCGAGCAGAGTACAAATAATATTACCAACTGCTCCATTATCCAAATTGCCGTCACTACAGGCGAACTTACTGGTAATGCTGAAAATAAAAAGTCAGAGATTAAGAGTTACGTCTGAAGCAGAACTGGCTGAGATGATGGCAATGTTCCCTATCCGCTCTGTCCCATGTGAAAGACGTGATCACTGGTGCCTACTGAACACCTGAAAGATGACTTTAGTGACGGAGAAACTGAGTTTTAAATATACTTGTTTTAATTAATTTAAATGTAGTTCTAACTTAATTTAAATATCTGGTTAGCAACATACAGTTTTGGACAGTGCAGTTCTAGATCAAGACAGAAGGGGAAAAGGTGATCGACTGAGGACCTCTGACAGCTCCACTCACCTAATGTGATTACACTAGTACAGAGACTATTCTCAGGGAGTTCTTAAATTACCCCTGAGTAAGTAATATTGTTTCTAATTTTACAGATGAAGAAACTGAGGAACAAAAGATTTACTAAGCTGAAACTGGTTTGGCTCAGTGGATAGAGCGTGGGCCTGCAGATTGAAAGGTCCCAGGTCGATTCCGGTCAAGGGCATGTACCTTGGTTGCAGGCACATTCCCAGTAGGGGGTGTGCAAGAGGCAGCTGATTGATGATTCTCTCTCATCAATGTTTCTAACTCTCTCTCTCTCTCTTACTCTCTGTAAAAAAAATCAATAAAATATATTAAAAAAAGATTTACTAAGATAAAAATTACATATGTCAGTGATGAAACTGGCTTTGTAAAAAAACTGGGACTTATGGTAAACCTTGGATTTCAATTTTGTTTTACTTTGAAGTTCATGATGTGGGGCGTTCAGCACACGGATACCACAGACACCTGACTACTATCCGAAGCAACAAGGCCTGCCGCAGCATGGCGCAATGAAACAGGAGAGATGTCCAGGCCGCCACCAGCTCTCAGGCTCCCCAGGTAAACAGTGAGCCTCGAGGATTCCTCTGATCCATTCTGTTAGGTTAACTGAGAAGCAATTACATTAGTTATGCCCCTCATACACTGAAAACATCCCAAAAATAAAAGAGCAACTATAAAAGATCAATCAGTAGAGAAAAACAACAACAGTGAACACAGAGCATAATTTATCAGATCTGTGGCTAAATGAGAACTATCTCAATTTTGAAACAAAAAAAAATGAAGGAAAAGCTGATGCCTTGCTAGACCAGATAAAGAGCTCCTTTATACTAGTATGTGTAAGAAAACCATGAACAAATGTGATTCATCACCTTGTTTGATAACCATTGTTCACTGGCCAAACAAACTCTGCTTATCTGTGAACTTCCTAGAAGCAGGAATTTGGTCCTCAGTTTATCGTAAAGGATTTTAACCCCCAATGCTTATCACAACTCTTACCACAAATGTCCTTTATTATTGAACGAAAGAAAAATAAAACATTAAGGGAATAGCTAAATAAATTGGGGTATATCAACCAGATAAAATAGTACACAATCACTATTATATAATAAAAGGGAAATAGGCAAATTGGCAGAATGAGTGGGAATGGCCAGTCGCTATGACATGCACTAACCACCAGGGGGCAGACACTCAATGCAGGAGCTGTGCCCTGGTGGTCGGTGCGTGTCCACAGGGGAGCGCTGCTCAGCCAGAAGCCGACTTCTGTACAGTGCAGGTGCAGTAGTGGTAGCCTCTCCCTCCTCTGTGGCAGCGCTAAGGATGTCCGACTAATGGCTTAGGCCCGCTCCCTGCCTGCCAGAGGGATGTCTGACTGCCAGCTTAGGCCCGCTCTCATGGGGGAGCGGGCCTAAGCCATTAGTCAGACATCCCCCAAGAGGCTTGGACTGCAAGAGGGTGCAGGTCGGGCTGAGCACCCCCCTCTCCCTTTCCCTCCCCCTGGGTACACAAATTTTCATGCGCTGGGCGTCTAGTAAGAGATAATGATGGAAGACTCCATGACCACACGAAGAGAGAATGGAATAAGGACCCGAAAAATATGGCAATAAGGAATAGTGTGCAACTGACTGCAACTGTATGGAAAAAAATGCACACAGGTAAAAAGAAAGCCATGTTGGGGGATACTATATTGAGTGATATAAAAACGAATTTTAATGGTGCAGTTAAGCGATCTTTTTGATATGGAATAAAAGGTTGGGTGGGGGATTGTTGGCCCCAAGCTGCTCCTTTATTCCTTTTGCCTTAATTTTATCAGTTTATTCTTTGTATAAGGATTTAAGGTGTTCTTTGGTGCTATATAAAATGAATATAATGACACACATTTTTAAGCCATTTGTAAGACCATCACTTCTTTCTCTGAAAAAATTTCATTTTCTAATTTGCTCTATATGGTGGCCCTTTCTTTATTTTACTCCTTCCCAATACTCTCTTTTATTAACAAAGGTTCCCTCTCTTTCTTTTTTTGGCCACTTGTTTATTAGGCTTTCCCTTTTTCACTTTACTACTTCTTTCCTTATGTCTTTCAATCACATTCTCAATCTTCCCCACATTCCTCATCAAAAAGTAGCGTATTTATTCCCACCACTTTTATTAAAAAAAAAAAATAAATAAACTGATGTCCTGCAACAGAGCCAGAAGCCAGCCCTATTGATTTTAGCAGGTTTGAGTGTTCACTTAAGCCTACAACTTCCCATTGCCTAGCAACACGGGTACCCAGCATTTCAGGTTACTATAGCGACGGCTTCCTGATGCAAGTGCTAGCTCGGAGAAGCGTTAGAGAGCAGCTACCACTTCAAAACCGGGGCTCCCAGGGTTTTTCTCCCCACTTTATTGCTTGGCATTTGAAAAGGGGGAAAAGAACGGAGAGGAGCCTGAAAACTGCAAAGGACTAGATAATCAATTGCTATTTCTTTTATATACAGCATCAAAACGAAATCCTTTATAATAAGCTTTCCTTGTTTATGCCTTGAAGCCACCGCTTCCCCCTTCCTGACAGGACCCCTGGACTCTGACATAAAGACAAGCTGGGTGTGGGGCCGACCTGGGCTTCAAAGAGAGGCTGAGTGTGCACGCCCCTCCCACCCCGGGACCAAGCAAAGGGCTTCCTTCCAAAGTCACGGATCCCAAAAATCTCGATTCTCTGTGGCTTCTTATTCAGTCATACATTTCATACCACCGCTTGCACGGATAGCTGAGACTTAGCAACAGTCTGTTTCAAAGCCGGAGTCAAGCTGCTCAGCACCACTAGGCTGCTGGGAAGTAGACAAATATGTCTGGACCACAGGAAATAATGAACTGCCCTCTCCGTAATTCCCTCTGACCACAGGGGCCCTGTTGCTGCAGATCAACGTCACTGCTGTCATTTCTAGTAATGCACAGTGTCAGCTTAGCGTCTTCGCCTTTCAGGAAGAGGAATCCTTCATTCCTTTCGATTAAAATACCGAGAGAGGTGGAAAAAAAAAAAGGACTCGCCTTTGCTCAGCAGAACGAACAAAGGCAGGCAATGAGTGGGAGCTTCTGAAAGGCAGAGACGTTAGGTCTACAGGGCGATCTCTGCCGACCTTATGTGATAGGTCAGGAGGTTCTGCTCAGACTATAGCAGAGCCCTTTCATGGACAACCTGATCTCGGTACTCTGCTGAAAATGAACCCACTCTTCCCGCTGCATTTGAAGTGAAATAAATTACCGTTTTTTCTGACACCTCCTTCACGTAGGAAAGCACAACAAGCTGATCACAGAGAGGCGCAAGACCACTGATGTAGAATTCGGTCTCAAACTGGGACACTGCAAACAAAAGGGATAAAAGACTCATCAGTAAGCAGCACATAAAGGAGAGGACGCATCGGCTCTGAATTCCAGATGCATTCATTTTAGAAATCTAACACAAAGGGGCACAGACATGCCTTCCCGCCAGCAGGCAGCAGCAGCAGAGGATATCGGAAAACCTCACCTGAAAATTTATATCACAAACAAAAAACAAACCTGATCATAACAAGCAGCATGAAGGGTCAAATGTGACACCGTGCCCACTTAGTATAAAAATGACAGTTAAATCCCAAGAAAACCCAATGTAAACTACTAATAACAATAATAATTTCTTTAAAATGCCTGAGTTTGCCGAAACCGGTTTGGCTCAGTGGATAAGAGCGTCAACCTGCGGATTGAAGGGTCCCGGGTTCGATTCCGGTCAAGGGCATGTACCTTGGTTGCGGGCACATCCCTAGTAGGGGGTATGCAAGAGGCAGCTGGTCAATGATTCTCTCTCATCGATGTTTCTAACTCTCTATCCCTCTCTCTTCTTCTCTGTAAAAAATCAATAAAATATATTTTTTTAAAATGCCTGAGTTTTTCACAGTTAGGGCGTTACAGGTGTATAATGGTCACAAGGAAAGCTATTTGTAATTGGGAAACTACAATTCTTTTTTTTTTTTTTCAAACACTTAATAGAGATTTTATTTAAAGATTTAAAAGGAGCAAAGGGTGTAAAAATACAAATTACACGATAAAACTATTGTTTATATGAAACAAAGGTCAGAGGAAATAAATTCCATTCTCCTTTTTAAAGACAGTCTTTAAAATTAAGAGTTACCACATCGCCATAAGAAATAAATGGTGAAGGGATTAAGAAGTACAGATTGGTAGTTACAAAATAATCAAGGGGATGTAAAAGTACAGCATAGGGAATAGAGTCAATAATATTGCAATAACCATGTATGGTGCCAGGAGGATCACTTTGTAAAGTACTGCCTAAACGATTGCTAATTCCCAAATTGTAAAATCTCAATTTGTAAGATTTAGTACTTAACAAATTAGCATTTATTACAGCACGTGAAATTAAGAAGTAAAATAGACATGTACTTCTACACATCTTTTCTTGCTTTCTTATAGTACTTAGCTGTAAAAAAGAAAGAAATGTTACCCTTTGCAACAGCCACAAAAAATTAATATTCCACAGAGAGGAAAAACTTTTTGTGTTTTTGAGATTCTGACTTATTAGGAAGAGTTATAAACATTTGGCGTCTAAGAAATGTAGAGTCACAGAACTTCTTTAATCTCAATGTTGGTCTTGCCTCATTTACTAGAGAATAGCGGATCACGCTGTTCAGGGCTAAAGCAAATTGTAATCCAGACCTCCTAATATGTCCCTTTTCCTTTATCCTAGTTAAGGACTCTTATCTAAACCACTTGGCCTCCTGCTGTGGAAATGGCTTATATTATTAAAGGTTTCCTCTTAAGGGGAAAAATATGGTACTTAACCACTAACCATAGTACTAAAATGTCAGTAATGTGATATTGTTAGTACTCCAGCACACTGCATTTCTCATCAGTTGTAGTACAGATGAACTACACTTTAATAACGTAATCCCAGGACTCCAGGGCCAATCCTGGGTCAGCTACTAGTGATCACAGGGCTAGGTGGAAGTTTGCATGGTGATTTAGCGAACCCCCATTATCTGCCAAGTAGGGTTGACAGGCATTATTTAGGTCATGTCTAATTCTTACAACCCTCTTCAAAGGTAGGTGTTATCACCTCCAGGCTTTTCTGGCTTGGGAAGGTGTAGTAACCTTAACAGGAAGATTCTACCCATTTTAATGCCATGCTAGTAAGATGGTGGCCAAGTTATTTATGTCCCTAAGCCCCATTTTTCTTCATCTACAGCATGAGAAACATGCTACCTGCCCTTTGCATGGGAGCTGAGAGAGGGACGTAAACTAATGCAGGTAAGGCATAGAGCACAATGTCCATACCTACTATGTGAGCAATAAACATCAACTAATGAGATATCAACTACATTTTTGTCCTTCCCTGGAAATTTTTACATCTTTAAAAATTCCCAGATGCCCTGGCTGGTTTAGGTAGAGCGTTGGGCCTATGGACTGAAGGGTCCAGGGCACATGCCTGGTTCAGGCTCACTTCCCAGTGGGGGGCTTGCAGGAGGCATCTGATCAATGATTCTCATCATTGATGTTTCTATCTCTTTAACTCTCTCCATTCCTCTCTGAAATCAATAAAAACATATTTTTAAAAAATTCCCAGAGTTCTTGTTGTCTTTGTCTTTGTCGTCGTCTTCTTCTTCTTCTTCTTCTTCTTCTTCTTCTTCTTCTTCTTCTTCTTCTTCTTCATCTTCAACAACTCATCTGTATTTAAAATATTCTAATATATATCTCTCAGGACACTATGTACTGAGATGTTCAAAGGTTTTCTTTTTTTTTTTTTCCCCCCTGGTAGAGCACAACAGGATAGAAGATAGAGATAATAAAGTAATTATCTTTATCTTGGTGTTATCAGTCTTCTATATTATCTTGTTCCTCAGTTTTGTTCAGAACCTTATATTCTGTATGTATCTATTCTGTATGTATTTATCCTGCTAAGGCAAAACATTATTAAAACCCTTCCACCAACATCGGACTAAAAATAAAAAACATCCCAGATTTAAATGCCTTAACCATATTTGCCATGTAATATGTCTTTCAATTTTTAGAAATATAGTCCTTGGAAATAATTTATCTCAATTTCACTTTGTTATAATGACCCATCAAATTTACATTCCCCATTTATCACCCAACAGGTAAATGAAATTTTCAGCTAACTTGTAAGATAGCAAAACTTTTCTTGCCACACAAATACTAGTATGTCTCCTATTGCTCTCAGTTCCAAGTAATACAAAAATAGTGTTTACTATATCTATTTAATTAACAAAAGTCTGTCCATTTTCATGCTTTCTATCTAAATAACTTTTGCACTAAGTTATAAAACTAAGCTGAAGAAGTAAATTGCATGTCGCCCTTGTCATACTTCCGAACAGCTCTTTCCCAGAGTCACTTATTCATTCAGTCCGATATCATTTAGCACCTTCTGTGTGCCAGGGCCCTGAGATACAAACACTGAGCAAAGACAGACCAAGTGCGTACTCTGAAGGAGACTATAATTTCGTGCAAAACACAGATAGGCAATTGAATAATCACATGACTGCTGCAACAGAAACAGGTGGTAAAAAGAGGAGCGTTCTACATGCCCATGGTGGGGTAGTTAGGGAGGCCCAGGGGGCCTTCCCAGGAAAGCACTACTTGACCTGAGGTGTGATTAAGGATGATACAAGGTCAAAGAAGTAAAGAAGCAAGAGGAGCATTCTACACAGAGGGGAGGAAGGAGCATGGGGAGGTGTAAGGGGCCAGTGTAGCTGCAGCACAGGGCCCTGTGGTCATGTCTCAGAGTTGCATTTTTATCCTAAGAACAACAGGAGGAGACTGAGGGTGGTGACATGATGTGATTTGTAATCTGACTGCACTGGGGAGACTAGATTACAGTGATTCACAAGGGACGGAGATAAACCAGTTAGGAGGCTGCTGCAGTGATCCAGAAAAGGGATGATGGCAGTTTGGACCAGAGCAGTAATGATGAAAATTAATATTCAGAATACACACGTTGACAGGACCAGATGCCAGTACTGTGCTATGCGTTGTGCACATGTTAACTCTTGGAATTCTCACAAACAACATGTGAGACAGGTATTCTTTCCCACAATTTACGGATAAGGTAGGTAAGAATTTGTTCAAAATCTAGGAAGCAGGCAGAATCAGAGCCCAGTTATTCAACTCCAAAGCCAACTACAAAGTTCTTGTGTAGAAATTAGAAATATGGTTAGGAAAAAAAGGGTCTCTGTAATGAAGTTTCAACACTTAAAACAAAAGCTCCTTGACCAGTTTCATCACAGTCACAAGCGCTAAGGCCTGAAGAAGAACGTAGTCTTAGGACCCTTAGCAAAACAGAGTCTCCTTTGCGGTTTTATACTCATGGAAGGCTTACCTATTTCAACATATCGGCTTGGCAAGTCCCTCATTTCACTGGCGTGCCGTTCCTTCACCGAGCATATCTAGAAAATGAATTCACAGGTTATTTTACACACTTGATGAAAAACTCTTCATAACATGTCATTCACTATATGATACTTAAATTAACCACGCAGTACTGAAAATGGAGTGCACACAATCTACCCACTGACTTAAGTGACAAAAATTAATCTCCACGATAGATAGCAACTGTTACTTATATACTTCAACATTTTATTCTTCAACAAAGTCTTACTCCAAAGCAAAGAAAAGAAGGAAACTATGAGATAGTTTTAACATGTTTCCGATGGCTTACTCTTTCCAATTCTACTTAAGAGCCACTTCTGTCATCAGACAAATAAAGCTCTGGCACAAGCACATATTCAAGGAAGGCCAATGGCTCATTCGGGCAACATTTGTACTAGGTCTTGTGTTTCTGATTACATATTGGTGATATATTTTACTGTTGCTAAGTAATAATTTGTGAAAGTGGCACAGACTCTTCTTCTTTTGAGTATATTAAAAATCAATGTGTTATATAATTTAAATCAGGTAAATCACAGCCTGGCCTAGGCCTTTTTTTGTGTGTGTTTATTTTGTTTGTTTGTTTTTCAGATCTGTAAGCTAAACATAGTTTTTACATTTTTAAAGGAAAAGAAAGGGAGGGAAGGGAATATTCAGCAGAAAAAAAATGTACCTTAAAATCTATAATACATAATGCTAGCCTTTTACAGAATGTTCCCTATTTTAAATTATATGTATATATATATACACACACACACACACACATATGTTTGTGTGTGTGTGTGTGTGTGTGTGTGTGTGTGTATATATATGTTTGATATGTGTGTGTGTGTGTGTGTGTATTTATCTAACACTCAACACATGGTTGTTTTAGGGTGGTAAGATTAGAGATATTTTCTTTGCTACATTTCTAAAGCAGATATATTCTATTTTGTAATAGGACACTAAAAATTTACATAAGTTCAGCCATAGAGGTGAAAAAAAATCTAAAATTAAATACTGATCATGTCATTTTCATCAGGCATCAGGTTTTTTTCCTTTTTCTTTAGATAGTATTTCTTGTTCTTTTATAGTTGCTATCCCTAAGTATTGCTACAACATAGAAAGCTCTAAAATACAAAAAACCCAAAGGGAAATATACAAATACTATTCAGTGTCTTAGCACCAAGTGAACACCATTAACCACGTTTTTAAAAAAATCTTTTATAAAGCTAATAATTTACTACAAATAATATATTATTTAAATATTCTCCCACAATTCCTTAATGTCTTCATAGCATTTCATTACATAGTATGAGAGAGTATCATTGTATCATTGATTGCCTGCCTCTTGCATGCCCCCTACTGGGGATGGAGCCAGCAACCCGGCATGTGCCCTGACCAGGAATCGAACCTTGACCTCTTGGTTCATAGGTCAACGCTCAACCACTGAGCCACACCGGCTGGGCCACCATTTGTGTTTCATGGCATGGAAAAGAAAGACTATCTTAAAACTTAAGCATACAAAAGGATTGAGCATTAAGTGATTATCACATGCTGACAATACTCTCAGGTGAAAACATTTTAGTTGCAAGAAGCATTCAAGAACTCATATTCCTTTGGAGCATCTTCAATGAATCTATAACAACATGGACTGATTATAAGACAAAGCAAAACCACCTTGACAGAAGTCCCCCAGCCGATAATCAGGGTCACACTGTCCTTCCAGCAGAGGCTGCAGGGGTACATATCTGGGCGAAGACTGATGTCATCCCGGGGCACGTTTGTGATTCTTTGCTTTGAGGTGATGTCAAATATCTTCACACCCTGGAAAATAAAAGAGCATTAACATACTCTACTGGGGAGAAGAAAAGTATCGGAAAACACTGCTCCACACCACTGACAACCAGCTCTGCAGAACACGGACAGTGTCTGCTGAGCCCTGCGGGAGCCATGCAGAGGAAAATGCTCCTATTCCACACAGAGCTGTGAGCGCCCCGAACAAGGGAAAACCTCCATGCCTTTCTGCACAAAAGCGTTTTATTAGTCGACAGCATCGGTGGCTCAAATACAACACAAATGTGAAATGTGCAGGCGTCAACAAGTGCATTTCCAAAATGACAGACAAGTAACATTTCTAATTGCGTACCGTTCCACTCACTACAAAATGAAGTTTGCTTTTCAGAAACACTGTGACATTGAAAATCTACTGCGCACAGAAAACTACACTTGACATTTAAAATAGTCAAATGGAAACATGGAGCAAGCAGCTAACTTAAAAATAAACAGAGAGGCCACAGGTTTGCCTGCCTTTACTGTGACCCTGGAAAAGTAAGTCCTGAATAGCAGGGAGGATTCTGGGAGAACAGAATAGAACTCATTTGCAAAGTTATACCTCGAAATTCCAAAAGATATGCCAGGTGTCAAAAAGATAACTTTACGCTTTCTCTTTGCTCTAGCTCACAGTGAGTAAACTTTTAAGTAAGTGTAGCACCAAATATCATGATTGACTTTTTAAAAGGCAAACCTATATTTTTCTTGTGATTATTCTGGGAGTAAAATGGAATCAGCAATATCGTGCCCTTGTTTCATCTCAGCTGTTACTTAGCCCTTGGCTAATAGGCAGAAGGTATTTTCAAGATCACATTCCCAAGGCAGCCCTTCAATTATTAAGACGCCTTTTCATTTTCTTGACTGTTCTCCAGGCCTCAGGTTTCTTCCTCTGAAACAGAGCCCAGATATGTTGGGAGTTCCTCTATTATGAAAGCCCAGAGCGATCTAATTTCTTTAACCTTCCAGGTAAGACATGAACTGCCGTTTGCAGCCTTTAATAGTGACCACAGAAGCAAAGGGTACCTTTCCTCCGTGTTACAGCCCTCTCGGTGCAGCCCCTCTCAGCTCTTTTGGTGCAGCCCCTCTTCCCTCTGAAGAAGCATTAGGAAGATGGTGACATGCTTTTACCATGTTATTGGCCCACGCAATCAGATGGCCTCTCCACTTCACACTCCTTATGTTCCCTTCCCCTTCATGCAGAACGGAAGACTTCCATCTGCTCATCCAAGACCGTTCAAACAGCAGCAACTAGGGACAAATAGTATAAAAACAGAATTTTAGAAACTAAGAAGGATGCATAGATTCCCTCCTTACTATTTTTGCCTGGCCACTGACCAAATGGAAAACAACTTATCCTCAGCAATTTTTTATTCAGACTCAAAGTACTAAATCATCTGCATTTTGGAAAGAATTTCCACTCATTTTATCTTACCAAGAACACTGTTTAAAATGTAGGAGTGTTGAAAGTTACTACAAAGTCAAGCCACAAGATGGCACTAAAATACCAAATTCATGGAGAATACTGCACAGGAAAGATCTGTTATCACAAAATGTTCTTCAAATGATTGCCCAAGAATTAATTTATTTGGTAAATTGGGAAGTCAAAACCTCATAATGTCCCTCTGAAAGTAAAAATATTAATTACAGATTAAACCACAATAGTTAGAAGCAGTCTATTTTTCATTGAACCCAAGAAAAATAATTTTTAAATGGCCTTTGAACAGTAATTTGTGTCATAAGAGACATTTGCTTGAGGCTTAAACTTGTTTTAAAAGTTCAGAGTAGCTAAGGTCTTTACTTTAAAAAGAATAATGTATAATAAAAATATCTGCTGGGTAAGTTTTATTACCAAATATAACTAACTGATCTAAACCTCTAAGGCTGTAGTTTAATAAATCATGCATTATTTAGGTACAATAAAATAGTCCTTCTTAATATATTCAATTCAAATACTTTTTAAAAAGACATTTACAAAATATATAACTTAATATATACAAGATATAATTTATACAATGTGTAACCTACAATAACTTCACACATGCAATCCTGAAGTATGTTTCCTACCATTTAAAACTCAAGGCTGATGGCACAGAATTTTTTAAAATTCCTATTATCAGAGTTGATTTCAGTTTACCTTAGTTTTATTCTATGTCCCTTCCCACCCCCAAAGAAGGGGGGAAACAAGTAATAGGAGAAAGAGAGCAAATTCACATTTATATTTTTTGATATATCTTTCTCAATAGTTGGGCTTATATAGTAAAAAAATACAAAATAAGGGGAAAATCCTATAATGAAATGTGTCCATCTTCACAAATGAGCAGAGTATGATCACTTTTAAATGCCAAGGGGGCTTGAAGCTCTTCATTACCCGTGGAAAAGAAAAGGTGGAGACTGGAGGCAGGGCTGTCCCGGAGCACATGGCGCCCTGCCTTTCCGTCAGACTGTTACAGGACGGCCCCTCACAGACCTGCCAGCCCTCCCGTGCTCTCCCAGCCCGGCTCCTACGAGAGAACCCGCCACCACCACGTGTCCCTGCTTCCTGTCAGAGACCCCCCGGCCCTCTCTGACTGTGATTCAGCTTTCCCAAAGAGCCACGGAGGTCACTGAACGTGTCTGTGTATTTGGTGACAGGGCAGGTATGAAATCAGGAAACGAGGGAAAAACCTGAGACTATACTCCTGCTACACACGCTACTAAAGATTATGGTAGCTGGAAACAATGACGTATATTAAACATGAGGCACTGGTAAGATGGAAATGTTTATCCTCCATCTGTGGTCTGGACCAGGTCAGGAGACTGGGCTGGGCCCAGGGACTGCTCCATGACCTCCTGCTGGGCGGAGCAGGGGCTGGTCAGGACACAGGGGTGGTGGAGCATTCACCAACTGGTGCCCGTCCTCACCAATTCCCACCAAAATGACCAGACAGTGTTAAAAAGGGAACAATCTATACCTGTGTTTCAGAAAAATTAAGTAGGCCCCATATTTTAAGTTAAAAATTCTATAAAATGATAAAAAATAAGACCCCCGTGAAGGCCATTATTCGACTCACTACAAGAACAAGCCTGCCTGGGAAGTGGCTGGGTGGGTAGAGGGGAGTCACGGGAAAACGCCATGCAGGTCACACAGGCTTTGGTCAGCACTGGTAGCTGATGCCTGGCCGAGAAGCCACTCCACTTGACAACATGGGCCAGAAGGAATGCAGGCACACTGGCCACAGGAAGGCACTCACCAAAGACAGCTGGGCCAGTGAGGAGAGGTGGACAGTCCCTGTGTACACCTCAAATTCCTTAGTAAATGCAGAAGCAGACTTTAAACAAACAAACAAAAAAGAGCAATTCCCTGCTTCACCCATGGTCATGTTCTCTGGCAGCCATTTTTCTAGGACAACTGTTCCGATTCAGGCAATAACAAAAACTTCCTTCTCCCACCGCCATCCAAAAGAAAAGATTTGAACAAGTTCTCAGAAAAATCTATTACAAATTCACAGCAACTTCAACGCTAAAATACTGAAAACAGACCTCTCAGTAATTATGAGCTAACAAGATAAAAACCACTAGCAATATGGGAAAATCCAGTATTTGTCAACAACAGGACTAATCCAAGGAAGCAGAGGAATCCCCCACTCTGACTCCACATGGATGACAATCACAAAACAAGAACTTTAAAAATGATCTTCCTTGTTCTCAGGTGACAACAAAATTAAGCAAGAAATTAGTAACAAAAGTTAAGCAAAACAAAACCACCTAAATTTTTATTTATTTATTTATTTATTTTTTATTAAATTATTATCTGTGTACATATCTTAACATTGCCCCCCTCTCATATATATCCTCCCTCCCCAGAGTTTTGTGTCCATTGGTTGTGCTTATATGCATGTATACAAGTCCTTCAGTTGATCTCTTATCTCCCCCAGATCTCCCTACCCTCCCTGCTGTAATTTGACAGTCTGCTTGTTGCTTTACTGTCTTTATATCTGTCTTTTGGTTCATCAGTTTATAATGTTAATATCCATAAATGAGTGAGGTCATGTGGTATTTCTCTTTCATTGACTGGCTTATTTCACTCAGCATGATGTTCTCTAATTCTATCCAGGTTGCTGCAAATGATGAGAATTCCTTTTTTATGGCAGCATAGTATTCCATTGAAAACCACCTAAATTTTTAAAAATGATACTGTTGGGTAAAAGAGAAAACCAAACTATAACAGAGCACTCTGAAATGAAAACACAAATACTACAAACCTAAACTTTAGGGGCTGCAATCATAATTATAAATAAAGGGAAGTCCACAGTTCTAAAAATTAATGACCAGAAACAGGGGTGCATGTACAAACTACATGACAAAAACAAAAATACTTTACTGAGGGATATAAAAGGAGAACTAAATAAGTGGAAAGGTACAATGTTTCCCTGGATAGTTTCTCATGAAGAGTTTAAGTCTTCTAAATCAACCTATGATTTTAATGCGAGCCCGAAGAAATTCTCAAAGGAATTACTTCTTGGATTTCTAAAATACAATAAATTCATTTTAAAATATTAAGAATAACAGGAATTTTTTATTTTCCAATTAAGCAATTTGTGTGTGTGTGTGGATTGGCCCTGCAGAACAGAAAACATTCCAGACCAGGAATCAAACCGGTGACCTCTTGGTTCCTGGATCAATATTCAACTGCTAAGCTACACTGGCCGGATTCATGTTATTTTCTGATGTTTTTAAAATAGCAGTAGTTTCAATCACTTTGCCTTTATATTTTTTGGATGAAAAATAAGCAATAACGTATACATAAGAAGCCTTAAATATATTAGGAAGATCATTGTTCAGAAGAATTCTTTTGCAAGTCAAAAAAAAATCTCCCCCTAATTTCTTGGTTCAGTGTATGTTTTAAGGTTATGTTAGTTTTTTTGTATGTTTGTTTGTTTGTTTAATATATCTTATTGATTTTTTACAGAGAGGAAGAGAGAGGGATAGAGAGTTAGAAACATTGATGAGAGAGAAACATCGATCAGCTGCCTCTTGCACACCCCCCTCTGGGGATGTGCCCGCAACCAATGTAAATGCCCTTGACTGGAATCGAACCTGGGACCCTCCAGTCCACAGGCCGATGCTCTATCCACTGAGACAAACCGGACTGGTTTCGGCGGTCATGCTAGTTTTATCAAAGTATAATGAGTGCCATATTCTATTTTGTTCATGGAGATGCATGTACTTATCTTTCATCTCCCAAACTGTAAATGTATTAGGGAGAGAGCACAAATCTTATACTTGGCTAGACACACAGGCATAATAAATAACAAATACTGAGAAGGCTTTCCTAGGTTTTTTAATATTATTCTTTCCTTCATTGTGCATACACACAATGTGTTTGCTTTAAGAGGAGCTATGTAATTCCCCAAAACCCTTGTTACTTAGCCCACCTGTAGTTAGTGATGTCCAGTGGAATTTGCCCTAAGCTCAAAAATCTAATTAAAAGAACCCTGTGACTCTATATAATTACTGTATATCCTTGCTTTGCCCTGGCTGGTGTGGCTAAGTTGGCTGGGTATTGTCCCATGCACCAGAAGGTCACTGGTTGGATTCCAGGTTAGGGCACATGCGATCAACGAAAGGGGGTGTGAAGGAGGCAGCCAATCAATGTTCTCTCTCATATTGATGTTTCTCTCTCCCTCTCCCTTCCAATCTCCCTAAAATCAATAAAAACATGTAAGAAATAAGTCTCCTTGCTTGTATTGACCCCATGTTCTACTCTTGAAATGTTGGTCTATTTCCCTTTGCTCAATGCCAGAGGATATAATTTGTGCACAGCTTGTCAAAATTTTGAAAACTACTTTTAAGGCTAATCTTCCCCTATTCAGGTTAGGTAATTGCAGTTCCTTTATTTCAGGGATGTCAACTGGGTCTGAAAGTGTTTATTTGAAATGTGTCTGCAGCCTGCTGAAGGCTCTGCAGTTGCTGCCGAGCCCACTCCTCCCCACTGTCTCTGCACCCCATCTGCTTCTCCTCCACGCCACCTGCCTGGCCCCTGAAGCCTCCATTCCTGCATTCCCCCACCACTCCGCTCTATTCCTCACTAATGAGCCCTATTTTCCAACCAATACATAGTCTAAAACTTTACATGTCAGCTAATAAGGATGGAATCATTCCCGTTTCTGTCCTTTGAAACTCTCCAAATACATCTGCTGTCCATGCAAGATTTGATTTGTCGCATTTTGTAGGACATACGGTTTCATGTGGGAGGGAGAAGGACCAGA